GGGGATTACCACATAGGATGCGTTCAAGTCTATTTCTCCTGTGTATTGATTATTACATTTTAGTCTTGCTCCTTGCTCTAAAGGTTCACTTGCACTAAAGGGTCAAATTTTTGGTAAGTATATAATACCAAAACAAAAACTATAATTTCTCCTTTTTAAGACTAGACAACTCATGCTTCAGTCATTTAGAAATTGTGCTCTTTTGAAACTGAGTGAGGTTTTTGTTTTGCTCTGTGTGTGTGTGTGTGTGTGTGTGTGTGTGTGTGTGTGTGTGTGTGTGTGTTTCTTTTAGGAGTTTCTGGAACAAAGGAGGCACTATTTCACCATTGTGATTCCAAAGAGGCTAGATCCCTACAGCCTTTAACACAGGAGGCAACAAGGTTGCCACTGGTACTCTATGAATTAAAGTCGCTCCTGATGATAGTTCTTTCATTAACACTTAGGATTAGAGATAAAAACTAAATCAATCTTTGTACTTTATGGTCTAAAGTTGATGTCATAACTATTTAATCCTGCTCCAAATTTCTATGTGCTAGATCTTCATACTCCTTTTCATGAAATAAAAGAAAACAAATTAAAATTCATTTTGGATACATGGAGATAAGTGTCTGAAGGATCTAAAATAAGTTATTTCATAATTAAGACATTATTTCCATCTGTGCTGCCAAAGAAAATAAGGAGTTTTGCTGAGCTAAGCCAAATTTCTAACATATTTTAAAACTTGGCAAATCTTTAAGCTTTCATGAGGTCATACCTAATGAGAAAAATACCTACTTGAAACATAATTATACATGAGCATAAATGTATATAATAATCATCTCATCACTAATGATATGAATGATAAATCCAAAGATGTGAATATTGCCAAAGAATGTCACCAAAGGACATATGCAAAGAACAAACAGTATTCCTCATGCTAACATTTTGAGATCATTGCTTTTAAAATACTAACTGTATAGTATTTCCTTTCCACTACAATTCCAGGAGAAGTGCCACTAGTAAGTAGTGTCATCATAGCGTGGTCATGTTTTACCCCTCTAACTTGTTATTATGCTCAAAAAAAACTCTCAGAATAACTGAATACTAGGCTTTAAATGAGGCAGTGCAGTATAAAACAAAAAGAAAAAAGTACTGGGCTAAAGCTCAGGAGATTACATTTTTGGTCTGCCACTAATTAGTTGCTAAGCCTGATACTTAAATTAGTTTTCTCATTTGTAAAGCATCTGTAAAGGGCTCCAAGGCCTTTTCTAACTCTGAGTGTATGACCATAGTTTTGATTAAAGGGTCTCTGCTAACATACCACTGAAAACATTTTATATGATTCAGTTTCTTCTCCTCTTTCTCATCACTGTTATTGTGATGATGTCACAATAGCCACAAAGTAAAGAAAAGGCCTTTGTATCCCATAATAAGCACAGTGCAAAGATATCTACAAGCTGACAAAAGTTACTGATAACTGGTGTGGATCTTTACAGTGGGTGGGGAGGATTCTTTTACACAGAGTTAAAGTATTTTCTATGCTAGAACAAATGGAAGTTATTAAACTGACTTCCGTTAAAAGCAGAAGGATACAAACTTTTCATACATGGAATAAATGACAATGTAGAAGGAATTAATGACATCTAATATAAAATGTTTTTGAAAATCCTTATTCAGAGGGCTTGGAGTGTGGCTCAGTGGCAGAGCAATTGCCTAACATATGTGAGGCCCTAGGTTCTATCCAAGCAAATGGAAAGAAAAGGGGAGGGGAGAGAAGAGAGGAGGAGAAGAAAAGGGAGAGGGAAAGAAAGGAGGAAGAAAATGGATGGGAGGGGTGGGAAGGAAAGAAGGAGAAGAAAAGAAGAGACAAGAGAGGGGAAAAAAGAGAGGGAAATGAGAGGGGGAGGAGAGAGAAGGAAAAAGGAAGGAAGGAAGGAGAGAAAGAGAAATGGAGGGAGAGAAAGAGGGAAGGAAGGAGAGAAAAGGGGGAAGGAAACAAAGAAAATACACATTCATATGGCTTGTGTGTTGATATCTTATTTCTTGTCTTTCAATAATTTTCATTTAGGAAGCTGGAAGGAATAATGCTAGCATATTTTATTAACTGTGAGTTCAGCACAGACAACTTTAACAAGTGCAGTGACTATAATGGTCATGAGTCTACCACATGGAGAAAAGTAGGATCTCTTATTCTTCCAAGAACATGTAATTAAAAAGAAAGAAATGCCAAAACACACTAGTCCATTCTGGACATTCTGAAATCAATGGAAATAGAGTCACTGATTTTGCCTTTATTTTTTACTACTTTAGTCTTTATCCAAAGGACTGGGTACAATTTATCTTTTATGTCTAGATTCACAATTTATTTTAAAAAACAATATTTTCATTATAACTCTTAATTTTTCTCCATATAAAGGAAGCATGTTAAGGTTAAATTAACTAAAGTACTTTAAGTACCTTATCACTGTGTCTATACCGGAAACTTTTATGTCTGGATATGATTGTCCAGATCATGCTCATTATACACGGCAAATACATGGGGAAGATCCAAACACTGCTCAATAAAGTAAGTGCCAACCAAACCAACTGGATCCCAAGAAGATACAATGTGAAGACAAGTCCTAGAGGAACCTCACATAGTGCAGAAACTACAGTCAAGAAAGTACTGATAGCATGATTATCTTGAGTTCATTACCTGTTAGTCTTCAGCAAGCCAATAAAACAAATGGATACAAATCACCTGAAAATCAGCATGAACATGAGGCATTTCATTTCTCTCACACATTTCTCTCACACACTGATTGAATGCTTACTATGTGCCAAAAATATGCTCTCCTGGCAACAGTAGTCAATAAATATTTGCTAAATGGAAAACAAAAATTGAAGTGTATAATTTCTCTCTTTACATCGTCTTTTACCCAAAATTATAAAAACTAGTCATTGAACCAAGCACTAGTGTCTCACACTTGTACTCCTAGCCACTTAGAAGGCTGAGATCTGATGATAGAGGTTTGAAGCCAGCCTGGGAAGAAAGGTCCATGAGACTCTTATATCCTATTAATCAGCAAAAAGCCAGGAGTGGAGGTGGGGCTCAAGTGGTAGAATATCAGCCATGAGTGAAAAAAAAAAAGTTAAGGGACAGCATCCAGACACTGAGTTCAAGCCCAATTATCAGCATTTAAAAAACTGAAGTCATAAAATTGCCAACAACGTTGGAAAATGTTTACATTCCTCTGTAAAATGTGGCTATTTGCTTTAAGTCTCAACTTTAATGTAATAGACAGAACCAAATAATAATCTTCAGCCCTACTTAAGTCAGTAGAGCAGTATCTAAGAAAATTTAGCTTAGTTGATAGATGTCTAGGACTAACATCTATATGCAAATCATAGACATTAGATAGAGAAAAATTAGAGAGAATGAGCCCCTATTTCTCTTATCAGAGCCAAATCTCAAACCTAACTTCTTTTTTTTTTTTTTTCCTTTGGGTCCGGTCGTGGGGCCTGAACTCTGGGCCTGGATACTGTCCCTCAGCTCTTCAGCTCAAGGCTAGCACTCTACCACTTGAGCCATAGCGCCACTTACGGCTTTTTTATTTTTGCTTATGTGGTGCTGAGGAATCGAACCCAGGGCCTCATGCATGCAAGGCAAGCGCTCTACCACTGAGCCACCTTCCCAGCCCTCAAAGCCTAACTTCTGAAGGTAGATCCAAAAATGTTTTGTTCTAGTTTTAAAGTAACAAGAAACTGAATGTAAAAGTAGAATAGGTTCTTTTTTAGAAGTAGAAAAAGAACAGAAATAGATTGTGAGGGTGTGCTAATTATTCTTATGGAATTTTAATATCATGGGGCATATTAAGCAAAGGCATGAAATGTGCCTTCACACACCCACTGTTTGGAATAATCACATGTACCCCAAACAGCCTAAATCCATCCAGGAACTGTGAACCACAGAGCTTCACTGCTTTGGAATCATATTTACCCATATAGGCTATACTAAGTTTGTAAGATATACATGAATTTTCATCTGCAAGGAAGCTTATCAACATGATAATATTAATACACATATTTTCATACTTAAATGGAAAAAGAAAGACAGTCTTTATAAAATACTGTTCACAGTACCATAAAAAAGAAGCTGATGTCCAATGTCATCATTGTTTATCAGATCTGGCTCTGGTAATTGTTTGGTTTCTCAGATACAATGCTATAGTGCATTGTATAAGTATATTGTGACTGATGGCTTTTCTATATCTTTGAGAATTGAACAAGAATGGGGAGAATAAGGGAAAAAAGATTATTCATGATGACTTAGACTACAGATAGGATGGTGTAATAGAAGAGAGTATGAGTATGACATCAGGCTCCTTGGGTCCACCTGAGTAATATGCATGCCACTGGACCTCAGGGCCTGGTCATCCCCACCTGAAAAATGAGAGTGTTTGTGGGCAACACTTATACTCCTAATTCTAAAATTCAAATTTCCCCATGTTCTTAATTACAGATTAAAACAGAAGTTAACATCTTCTGTTAAAAAAAAATTCACGTCCTATGAAGAATTCCTTCCCAATCAAAAGAATGCTCAAAAAGAGTATAGAAGGCTACAGCTTCTCTCCAGAAGGAACCAAACACTGAGATCTGACCAGAACCTTAAATCAGCACAAAAGGCTTTTATCGATTAGGAAACTGGTACCACTTAGACAAACTGTCAGAGAGTTAGAATTTGTGATTAAAAAAATGTAAGATTTAAAGGAGCAAAAGAAAGGAGATGAAAGAAACTAATGTATTCACTTCCTAATTCTAGGCTAAGAGATACCTTAAATACACATCTATCTATCTATCTATCTGTCTATCTACATACATGCTATACATAAAATCCTTAATTCTGCAGTAAATGAATTATGCAAAATTTCCTGGCAAAAAGAAATGTTCTTATGAGTTGCTTTGCAAAATATTGTCCTGATGCAGTGGAAAAAGGTGAATGAATGCAGGATCCAATGAACTGAAACTGAAATGACACAAACCCTTGGGGCCTTCATCCTTGGGGGGGTGAAGGTTCCTAACTGGATCCCGGATACTGCAGTCTGTCCCTGCCCAGGTGAAATCACAGATGCAAGTGGCTTCATTACTACATACCTGTGAAGAGAAAAGAGGAGAGGTGGGGGTTATTTTCCATTGTGCTTTGTGGAATCATAGTGAAAAGCAGAGGGCAGGAAAAGCACAGGGCAAGAAGGAGGCTTTAGAAACCATTTGGGATGTTTCCAAAAGTTTCTCACAGTTTGGAGGACTGGACAAGGGGAAAAATGAATAGATACAATTGTGTAATATATTTTCAGTTACTTATAGCAAAATAATGATTAAGATAAAAAAACCTATATTTGTATTATTCATAATGATATTTAACTACACAAGTGCCTAATAATTTCAGGGTAATTTTTATAAGCAGTTGGACAATTTACGAAGAACATTGATATGTTTAACTCAATAAGTTAACAGATACTGGGCTCAAGATACTGTCAAGAGATAGTGACAGAGATAAAGGCCAGGAAACCTAAATCACCACAATCTCACCATGCCCAAATTTATTTGATACTCTTTCCTCACCAAGTGAGCACCCCTCCCACCTTCTCTAATGCTTTATCACCCCTCCTCACTCAGCCGGGCTGAAGACCTCAGAGTCATTTTTCTCTCCTCTGTTTCTGAGGATCAAGCAGTAACATGCATAGACTTGAAATTTACATGAAATAACCATCTGCAAACTAGGGGCAGAAGCACTAAAACCCTTATCTTCTGTGAAAAACACTTAGGAACAGATTATTACAAATGATAAGATCAAAGCTTTGAATCTGACTCGTTACAACACATAATTACTTTCCATAAAATTGACCTTTTATTAACAAAATGAGAAGGGCAGAAGGAAAGAAGTAAAAGCCTTCTCACGCATTAAGTTTTATGATTTCAGAGCAATAACTAAAATACTTGAAGAGTCTGTCCAGTGATTTTATTTTAATGTAGAAGTTATTGAGCATTTACTATGTGCCAACTACTCATCCTTTATACAAGCATCTTATTTAAGGCTCATACCAGCTAAGGTGTGAGTGCTAGGAGAGGGTAAGAGACTTACTCAAACTCACAGGGATAGCAAGAAGCAGAGCCAGGATTCAAACTTGACTAAATCTGATCATTCTTCCTAGTCCTCATCAAAATTGCATTCGTAAGTCACCAGGCTATACTGAGCCTATACTTCAACCAAATCCCAAACTCTAGGTTGTCATAAGACACAAGCTTCTTGGGCCTTTCCATTTTGTTCTACTCTGAATCACCCGCCTATCTATTTTGCATTACTTTTTAGCTTTCATTCTGATGTCTTTCATTTTTACTCTCTCATAGTTTCTTCCTGTCTCTTTCCCATTACTGAAGTCTATATAAACTTTTAAATACCATCATTTTGCTATGCCCAATTTAAATAACTATTGAAATTTTGATAATAGACTCAGGTGTCAGTAAAAGCAATCTTCCCACTTTGGTCATGGAATTAAAAATACATGCAGGTATGAATTCGAATATCATCTTCTCTTTGGCCGGCAATGGTCCATGCATAAATGTACTTACTCTGCATGTATGAGAATCATCTGTGACCCAATCTCCAGTGTGATCTGGCATATATACATATGCTTGGTATGAATAGTGAGGGGTTGAAAGTGAATTACTGAGAGGACTTAAGTTGTTTGGGCTATATAAAATAGTTACACGAAAGTACAGTTCCTTTAAAAACTGTATCATAGCTTTTGACCTTTAATCTATGTACATATGACCATATAAGATGAGGTTAAGTGAAATGAACCCCAAGATAGGAACACAACTTGTTTTTTCTTTCTTGCTATTGTTTTTATCTAAAATATGTATCTAAAATGTACTATGTGATTTTTTTTTGTTTCTCTTATATGTTCTTCTTCCACAGTATAACCCGTTTTCATTGTATTTGATTCTGGTGCCCTGCATCTTCTGTATGCTGAAACAAGCATACAGGTTGACCCATTGTAACAATAAGATGTACAAGACACTATGTTGAAAATGAACTTTACAACCGGGGGGGGGGGGGAGTGGGGAGGGGAGGGATGGTAGGGGAAAAACAAAGGAGGTGGCAACAATGCTCAATAGGAAATGTACTCATTACCTTAATCATGTAACTGTAACCCCTCTGTACACTATTTTTACAATAAAAAAAATCCCAATCACAAAAAAAGTATCAATTTTCTTCCAACCTTGAGATGCTGTAGTGGTTAATTTATGGGTCAACTTGACTAGATTAGGTCACGGGATGCCCAATTCAACATCCTTTCTGGATATTTATGACAGTGTTTCCAGATGGCATTTCAATTGGTGAGCTCCATAGAGCAGCCTGCCCTCCCCAGTAGGGACTGAATAGAGCAAAAGGAGGAGGAAAGAGAATTTGCTTCCTTCGTTGCTGCTTCACTGGTTGAACTAAGATATCAAAGCTCATCTTCTCTATCCCAAGAACTGGAATTTATAGCATTGGTTCTTCTGAGAGCTGACTCTCAGGTCTTTGGATTTAGACTAAATTATACCAGTGGCTTTCTTGGCTTTCCATACAGACAGTAAATTATGGGACTTTTCAGTCTATGTAATAAAGTGGGACAGATAGATAGATAGATGATAGCTAGCTAGCTAGATCTCCCACTGATTCCATTTCTCTGCAGAATCCTGACTATGAAGCTGTTAAGTATATACCTGGAGAATATGGTGATTGCAAGTAGGCAGTGATATGAGAAACAACAAAAATAAAATCCATTTAGTTATTTTAGCAGATAAAAGTATTAAGGAAGCATTCATCATCAGTGCAGAAACCGGCAACAGCTACAATTAGAGAATGACTGAGTGTCTGAATGACAGGAACTCAGCATGCCAGACAATGAAGTCAAGCTGTACAGCATTGATGCCTACTTACCCCATGGCCCGAACAGACTTTACCCTTGGAATCAAGTGGGCAGCTGCTCATATTTAGGGCTTGAATCTGTAGGCATTTCCGATCTAAACACATCATGGATGGGCCACATGGTGTTCCATCTTCTACATAGCCAACATCTGTATCATCATCTAAAACTACATGAGCACCACTAAAAGGAGAAAGATAGCCATGTAACTGTTAGCTCCTTACTTATATCAACATGAACTAGATGTGTTCTTTATGAAACCAAAGACAACGTACAGGGTTTCTCCTAGTTTCTTCCCACTCTCATTTCCCCCCTGCTCTGTCTTTCTTTAAAAGGAAAATGAAAGAGAAACTAATGACTTTTCACTATCATTATTCCACCACATATATTCAGGAAAACTGTCATTTTTCAGAAAGTGCATCCTAACTCTTCACTTGCTTCCGACATCCAACATTAAGACTAGGGTAAAGGCATTTGGGTAAAATCAAAATAAACAAATTTGTCATTAGTTCTCTCAGGCCATAGACAGTATTTTGAAAATTATTATTATTATTTCAAAGGATATGACAATTCATAACTGAAAAATAAGGAAATTGGTTCTCTATTGATATTTATTACTTTTAAAATTTCAAAGTTAGGGACAACTAAATTTGAATGATAATCAGTGATACACTAACAAAATATCTTATAAATATGTTAGTTTAGATGATAATAGAATAGTTTGACAAAGGTGTTAAAGATGTGAACACATATAAATTGAAAAAAACTAGCTTGAAGACTACAAGTTTCTTCCAGGAAGGATCCTGCTACTAAGACTCTGTTAGAATCACTTAAAAAGACAGTAAACCAACAACCATTTGGCCAAAACGACAGTATCCAACTCAGTACCCAATCAATTTAAAAAATTTGTTTAAAATTACTTTTTGGTAATTTCAAATATTATAGTCATTCACAGAAGATATGGATTTAGATTTGGAGGGTAAAAAAATAAAGAAAAGATGATGGCTGGGTGCTGGTGACTCATGCCTATAAATCCTAGCTATCCAGGAGGCTGAGATCTGAAGATCATGGTTCAAAGCCAGCCCAGGCAGGAAAGTCCAAGACTGTCATCTCAATTAATCACTAAAAAGCTGAAAGGGAAGCTGAGTGCAAGCCTTGAGCAAAAAAATGCTCAGAACAGCACCCAGGCCCTGAGTTCAAGCCCTAGGATCATCACAAAGGGGAGGGGTGGGGGAGAGAAAGAGAAAGAGAAAGAGAGAAGGAAGGAAGAAAGGAAGGGAGGAAGGAAAAGAAAAGAAAAGAAAAGAAGGAAGGAAAAGGAAAGATGCTGAAAGCAATAGCTCAGGAAGACCCCAGAAGAGGCAGGGATTATAGTAGTACTTCTGCATAAGAGAGCACTATCTTAACACTGTTTTGAAGGGAATAATATTTATTTGAAAAATAATATAAATCTTTAATAAAAATCAACTGTGTATCTATGTGCTTTCTTCTTACAGACAATTAGGATGTTGCTTATACCTATAAACAATATTTTAGTAACTATTTGTTTTATGTGACTTGGTATCTGTTAAACTATATTCTAAGGCAGACATTCGGTGTTACCTGCAGTCAATCACTCGGCCTTGATGGTAGAAGGAGGTTGGGATGATCTCTCCTTGAAGTTGACCGATACGCGGAGCTCGAGTTAGGTTGGTGCACAGTAAAAATCCACAGAATACATCACTACACATGTTTTTAAAAAATACAAATGACAGAAGTCAAACTCCAAACAATCAAATTATATTCTCCCCCACTCCTCTTTTTTGCAAGATGTGGAAGAATCAAACCTAGGGGTTTGTTCACTCTAGACAAACATTCTTTCACTGAACCCTTAAAATTTTTACGTATTATCTTCTTACAAAATAAAACGCTTTTTGTTCAGTAATTGTTGTTTGGCTATGACTGACTTCTCCCTTGCCCAAAGGATCACAGTTTTGTTCAGGTACTGAAATGTGTATCCCTGCAAGATGGATGGTGACTAGTCTAAACCAGTCCTGGCGCTCCCATTCCCTGAATCCACTTTTCTATGCATCCCTTCTCCTCACCCTCTAAAGTGGCCCAGGGTTACAGGGAGGTGAGAAAAAGCCAGCTAGGGAGTTTCTGGGAGGATTTCTCCTGGATAAGAAGTTAGAGCTTAGCAAGAAGAACTTTGACTCCTACCTCCTACTTACTTCCTACCTTTGGATGTGCAATTTTTGCATCCACTTTGCAGTTTGTAAGTGTAAGGATAAAACTAAATATGCTAGAGGTCACAAATTAGAAGAGAAGCAATTTTCTGAATCCTTGATGACACTGTTATATATTATATGACTCATCCACTATGAGGCTACCTACTTTCAGCATCTTAAGTAAACAATGACCCCAAAAGTAGGCAAAGAATTGAAGTGAGGTATCGCTGAAAAGGAAATCTATATTTAACGAACGTATGAAAGCTTGCTTAACTTTATTTTTAACCTGAGAAATGTAAATTAAAGTCATGGTAATATAGAAATTCACACCTCCTAAAATGTATAAAAGTTAAAATCAAATCTGATTAAGGCCAAGTGTTGGTAAGTCTGGGCATAACAACCTTTTCATATATATTATGATTGTAGGTTTGTTAGCAAAACCATATTTAGTAAGCAGTTTGACATTATCCAGTGATACTGAAACCACACAGTCCCTACCATTTGGCAATTTTTCTGATAGGTACAGATCTTACAGATACATGCATAGAAGTACACTAAGAATGTATTTTGTACAGGAATGTTTACAAAGCAGAGCTCTGAGTAGTCAAAATGCAGAAACAAGCTCAAGAATAGAGAACTAAATTATGGTATATTTTATGTGCATTTATAAAAATGAAACATAATAAGATAGAAAAAACAGGTATTCATTCCACAAAAAACTCTTAAAATGAGTTGGGTGCTGGTGGCTCATGCCAGTAATCCTAGCTACTCAGGAGACTGAAATCTGAGGATCGTAGTTCAAAGCCTGCCTGGGCAGGAAAGTCTGTGAGACTCTTATCTCTAATAAACCACCAGAAAACCAGAAGTGACGCTGTGGCTCAAGTGGTAGAGTGCTGGCCTTGAGCTGAAGAGCTGAAGGGCAGTGCTCAGGCCCAGAGTTCAAGCCCCATGACAGACAAAAACAAACAAAAAAGAAACCTCGTAAAATGATTAATTCAGAAGTAAGATATAAAATAGTACATGAAGTATCACAAATGTCAGTAACAAAAGTCAGGATGAAAATTACTCCAGGAAAGAGCTGGAGAACTATTCTGTGGACAATTTTTATTCCGGGAATGCCAGAATATTCTGTTTATTTTCTATTTATTCTATTTATTCAGAATATTCTATTATTTCTATTTATTCAGAATATTCTATTTATTTCTGTGGGTGTTTATCTCATAATTATTTAGTAAAGGTATACTTGTGTTATTTTAGTTTACTTACTATATTTCACAAAATTTTCAAGTTTTAAAACACACATATTAACACACTGGAAATAGGTTAGTCTAAAGTCAGATATTCAGAAAATACCTTTTCCAGTGATATATTTCAACACTTCCCAAATGTTTTAAAGTCAAGAATCAGAATGAAGCCAAGTGTTGGTGGCTCAGGCCTATAATTCTAGCTATGCAGGAGGCTGAGATCTGATGATCAGAGCTCAAAGCCAGCTGGGACAGAAAAGTCCATGAGACTCTTATTTCCAATAAACTATCCAGAAAAAGCTGGAAGTGGTGCTATGGCTCAAGTGGTAGAGAATGAACCTTGAGCACAAGGAGGCTGAAGGACTATGTCCAGGCCCTGGGTTCAAGCCCGAGGACTGGCAAAAAAAAAAAAAAAAAAAAAAAAGGAAGAATCACAGAATGATCAGATTTATATACAACAAATGAGTAAACCTAATCAAATTCAGAAGTTCCCAGCCACATGGGTCGCGACTACGTCACATCCCCCTTCTTCCTACTTTGTGGTACCCAAAGAACTGAGGATCAATGTCTCAGAATGTCTACTGTCCACTCAGGAAACATCAAAAGGGCAGCTCTGACCTCTGTTCTTTTGGTGTAAGTTTAAATGATAATAGTCAAACTTGTGTTGCCTTCTAAAGCCCTGTTCTCTACCAAAGTCTACCCAGACCTGTGGTATTTCATAAAATATATTATAGACATCACTAATCAGCGAAATAAAACTTTCCTGAAATCTTTGTTCTCCTTCAAAATTAGAAAGTAAATAATCCTTGCTATGGAAGAAAAATGGAGGCACTTCAACTTAGAAATTAATGGCTCCATAGATCCAAGTCACTGAATTAACCTGAATAAACTATTACATCGTAATTTCAGCTTTCCTCAATCACTTATGGGGAACGATAACCAATGTTCCCTGAAAGTACCTCATTTCTGAGTAACAAGGCCTCCATTACCCATGAAGTAGATGTTGTTCAGAAGGGAAAAGTCTCTGATCTAGATATTAATTGACTAGTAAAATTTAAAGATACTGCACTTGTGAAATGAATAAAAACATTATTACTTTAATATTTATTATCTATTTCATTTATCTATTAGTCCTTAAAATATACCAAGCCTACATAATTTACCTCTTAAACTACGCATAATAGTACGTTCATAGACTATAAAGGCTACCAAAAGTAGAAAATTAAACCCTAATAATTATTTGTAACACCTTGGCAAAGCATCTTCAAAATAAGAATCAAGCAAAATACATCAGGTGGTTAATTTTCTCAGTTTTACACATGGTGTTAGTCTTGTAGCATAGTGTCAGCGTACTGTCATTTGCCTCTAAATATGCCATTAATATATCTTATTATATTTTATATTTATTATATTTATTGTATTTTATTATATTATACATTTTAATATATGCTTTAAGTTTTTTGAGTAGTTTGAACAAGTTTTTGGAATTAGAAAACAATTTTATTGGCTAAAGATTTTGTGAAGTAAAATATTCCTAAACCTTTTTTTGTAAGTGATACTTACTTTGCACTCATTCTGCATTTGCATTGGGTCTCTAAGAGCAGGCATCCTGCCCCAAAGCTAACTACTCACTGTTTGCTACACTGGATCCAGCGGTCTCCATCCTTCCCACAGTTTCCCTTCTCGGTGCCTTCCGTATTCAGCTTTTCATAGCAGAACTTGTCAGACCCTGCAGCCTCTTTTGGAGATGAGCAAGAGAAGAAACTTCATTTTAGTTTTCATCATTCATAACCAATGGTAGGCCACTGTAATGCCCAACATCTGATTCTCCAGAAAAGGAATTTATAAATCCTGACTTAACATCTGATAGGGAAGTATTCCACCACCAACTATGTCCCTAGCCCTGATTTTCAAGTATCTTACAAGGCAGTATGTCCTTATTTTCTTGCCTCTAACAAAACAAAAGCAGTGAATGTAAGCTATTCAGATAAATGATATTTGCCCAACACTAAAATCACTCATGCCAGAATCGGTGTGCTTTTATGTGCTTTGTTTTTCTCTGCAAGGACTCAGCCTCAGCAACGTCTTGAACTTTCCAACTGAAGTTTATTAAAGTAGCACTGTAAATGTGAACATGTAGATATGTGGGGAATGTCCTGAGACATTACCATCTACTCAGGGAAAATGACTACTCCAGGAAGCCAACTTGTTGGGGGATAAATGTGAAAGTCCACAAAGTCAGCCATGCAAGTGGCCAGATAATGATCATGACCACTGCCCTCAACTCAGTCTTAACAGCAGATGGAAAATCCCTTCTATGACAGTCACAGTGGGTGGATGACATTTGGTTAGGATTCACATGTACAAATCCTCAAGAGTTGTTTATCTTGGTTTTTATTATTATTACTATTGGTTACTATTATTAATTATTATTGGTAAGTACTAGAAAATTAAATCCAAGACTTCTCTTGTACTGTACCACTCAGCTACTTCCTCTATAGTTCATCACTAAAAGTTGCAGATCTCTTTATTCTCATTCTTTTCTAGATCTTTCTCTTCTTTCCCTTCTTGCTCTCTTTCTCTTTCTTCCTTTCTTTCACATTACTGCAAGCTTTGGATCTCTGTCTGCAAGACTAGTAGAGAAAAACACTATTTTTTTTGTTGCTTTTGTTTGTTTGTTTTTGTTGGTTGTGGGGCTTGAACGCTGGGGCCTGAGCGCTGTCCCTGGGCTCTTCAGCTCAAGGCTAGTAGTGCTCTACCACTTGAACCACAGTGCCACTTCCAGTTCTCTGGTGGTCAATTGGAAATAAGAGTCTCATGGACCTTCCTACCCAGGCTGTCTTTGAACTGCAATCCTCAGATGTCAGCGTCCTGACTATCTAGGATCACAGGTGTGAGCCACCGGTGCCCAGCTTGCAAAAACACTCTTAAGAGGAAGTGCACATGTGACCAGCAAACAGGAAGCGTGACCTACTTGTTCCCCAGATGTACTGGCACTGGTTGTCCCTGGTCTTGCACTCGCCATTGTAGCAGCGACCCTGAGGACAAGACCACACATATGAGATGCACGGAGCCACAACACCTTTCCCAAAATTCTGATGACAAATCTCCTTCTAGTTGACTTAGACGAGGTATTTTTTTCATTCCATATTCTAATATTTTCACAAAAAACAATGAGAGTCACCAACATCTTATGAAAAGCTTAAGATACTGCCGACCTCAAAACACAGCTGTTTACATTCAAAATAATTATCTAAAATTCAAAAGTATGGAAAGCAAAAATTGGTGCCTTTCTTTGAATGACACTTAAACAATTTTTAACTTTGCTTACATATGCATGATTGGGTTTTAAAAAGCCATTTCAAAAAAGTTGTCTTATTTTCCCATAACAGACATGCTGGAATTACTTAAAGATGGTCACAAATGAGTGAATCAGATTTCTAATTCTATAGCTATTTCATTTGTTTTCTTTTGCCTCAATCTGGACAACTTGTCACTAGAGTTAAATATATTTAATATATGGTATGACATGAAGCAACTCTGAAATTAGAACCCCACTCTAATTCATGTGAGCAAAATTTCCTTCCAATGTGACATTTAAGAAAAAACAACTTTTCAAACTATCCTTCTAAATTATATTTAAAAGTTCCTAGCCTACCTGATTTTGATTGCAGGCATAACCATCTTGTTTATGAAGATTTGGTGGACACTGAAAAATATTATCTTATTAGTAAATGTGCAGCATAAGAAGTACCTTCAGATAATGTGCTCCATATACAAAAATGAAGGGGAAAAAAGCTCGCACGGGAATATACAATTAAGAATATTTCAAAAACACACCTAATGCCTTAAGTAGGTTATTTAAACTAATTCTACCATTGGTAAAATAAGAAAATAAAGCCCACATAGTGGGTACTTTCTATATGATTTTCTGTTTACTGTGAAATGGACTAGAAAAACAAAGTACATTTGCTGCCTAGGAGATGAAAATAAGCAGGATTTAAATGGCTAGGGAAGGAAATGAATCAGCTTGCTATGTAGGAGTGAACACACTCAGGAACTAATTTACAAAACCTTGCTGCGCTCCTGAAAATGTCAAATCTGAATGTGGCATCATGTCACTCACCTATAAACCACTTTACAAAAACAGAAAAGAGAGTTTTGATTTTGACTCATCATGACCTGTCTGACCCTCCCACCACACACTTGTTACCAGCACAGTCTGTGATACTGTGGGTATTTTTATTTACTGGCTTGTTTATCTGATCATTAAGTATGCCTCATTTCCCCCCCAAAATTACACTGAATAGGTGAATTTAAAACTTTTACACAGTTTTGAGAGTTGAAAAAAAGTCAAGACAAAAGCTCTACTATGGTGTTAGAATCAAATATGAAAGAAAAGAATACACATGTCTGGCAAAGGATTAAGAAACCCAGAGATGTGTACCAATGCTCCCCTTCAGTCTTCACTTTCTCAGCGAATGACCTCTCCATTGTTCAGCCCAACACCACAGCATTAGTCCCTATTCATTCCTCTTGCCCACATTTTGCATTCAGTATGTCAACAAGTCCCATTAGCTTCACTTCAAAACATGACAACTTGACCACCTCTTTCTCCACCTCCATCACTAACTCTTCTACCCCACTTGTGGCCTCCAGGCTATCGCTGTTTAGAAACAGAGAGATCCCTTTCAAGTACAAAGACCAGATCACATCAATCTTCTGGTCAAAACCCCTAAGTGGCTTCTTAACTTATTACTAGCCTTCAAGTTGACCATGATGATTCTCTCCTACCCCACCTCATCATTTCTCTGGACTCATTTCCTGCTCTCTCCCTGTTAGGCCTGGTACCAGCCCATGGCCTTGGTTTTGCACTTTTTTAAATCTTCCTCCAATTTCTGCATGGCTCTGGAGGTTTTGTTCAAGTAACATCATTACCTCAAAGAGGCCTCTCTCTCTCCCCAACCAGCACTAGCTCTCCCTCACCACTCCCTGCTTTTCTTTTCCCAGAGCATGTAACACCAACTGACAATTCATGTATTTTATTCATTTGTTTGCTTATAATTGTTCCCTATCATCGTGTGAGTTCCAGGCAGGTGAGATTTTATGTTTATGTAGCTGTCTTTGGTATGCAAGTTTGAGGCAGGTGCTCAATTACTAATGACTGACTTAGAGAATAACCGAATGACTCATACAGATACAACCAAGTCATTATATCCTGCACATATCAGGCTACTGATGAAGTTCATGATATAAAGAAGATAGAACTAGTTTAGCATTCCTAAGGAGCAGTAACTTACTAAGGAAGATTCCAATAAAAAATACTTGGGTTCTATGTTTTTCTAAGAACGAACAGTGTTTGAACAGCTTCATTCACCACAGCTTTTCATTCACCCTGCTGAGTATTCCAGGGATGCAATTATTGGCACTAAAACCTCAAATACTGGGCCAACTGAACTAAAGCAGACATCCTTATGGCTTCTTTCATCTCTCTCTATTCATCCACAAGTCAACTATTATGTCATTAGTCATCTATTATTAATTATTCACTTACTTTAAAACTGCTGCAACCACAATAAACAGAAATGAAAAACATAACTTTGGGAATAAGCAAATCAGATTCTACAATTAATTTGTCATGCTTCTAAAACATTGCAAGAAAAATACTATAAAGTTCTTTCCTAACAACAAAAGAAAAGTGCTTAATAAAAACTGTCCCACATAGGGTGCTGATGGCTCATACCTGTAATTCTAGCTACTCAAGAGGCTAAGATCTTAAGATTGTGGTTCAAAGCCAGCCCTGGTAGGAAAGTCCATGAGAGTCTTATTTTCAATTTACCACCACAAAGCCAGGAGCAGAGCTGCTGGCTTAGCAAAAAAATCTCAGGGACTGTGCCCAGTCCCTGAGTTCAAGCCCCAGGACCAACACAAAAACAACAACAACAACAACAAACTGTCCCGCTCAAATGTGAGATTTCTAATCAATCTGCTTTTAATTTAGGCTAATATACTCCAGTTGCTAGCCAGACATGGTGGAGTACACTTGTAAATCCTGGCAGGTTGAGGCAGGCAAACGAAGAGTTTGAGGTCAGTCAAGAATTAAGAGCAAGATCCTGTTTCAAAAAATATTTTTTAATCCAGTTGTGATTTCTGATATGTCTGACAGAGAACTTTTGGGGATTCTTATCTGTAGGAATATTTAGAGCAAGAGTCATCACTGCAGGTACTTTCCTCTGGGAGGAAAACTCTGGATAATATCTCAAAGGTCATTCCACTCCTTGGTTTTACACTGTGTAGGAAGGTCCGCCCGAAACATCTTCAACAGTACTTAAATTGTGTTACCCCACCCATTTTTTTTTAATTTATTTTATTTGTGAACATACTGTACAGAGGGGTTACAATTACATGGGCAGGATAATGCGCACATTTCTTACCAAGCATTGCAGCCTCCTCCTTTGTTTACCCTTCACATCCCTTTACCCCACCCATTTAGACCAATTTATGGTACTCTCCATTGCCCAAGGATTGATTATCTCGTGATATGCTGCAAATTTTAAAAGTAGCCCAGAGCCACCAGTACATGTTAATAAGCAAAATTAAACATACACTAAGAAAAACCATATGCAATGTGCAGGCTTGTGTCTGTAATCCTATCTACTTGAGAGGTAGAAATTGAAAGGATCAGAGTTTAAGACCAGCCCAGGAAAAATGTTCATAAGACCCCATTTCAACCAACAAAAAGCTAAGCACAGCAATACATGCCTCTCATCCCAGCTGCACAGGGAGCTTAAATAGGAAGATCATGGTCCATTCCAACCTGACCATACATGTAAGACCTTATTTGAAAAATTGTCTGGGGAGATGGATGAAGTAGTAGAGTACTTGCCTAACAAGCATAAGTCCCTGGGTTTAAACTCAGTGCCACAAAACATATAAAAATAAAAATAAAACAACAAGAGAAAATTTAAGTCATAGTATTGATTATAGACATTAGTGATTAGAGGTGTAAAAATTCTGTTTTCCTAAAAAATTACTAGGATTAATTAAATTCAAAGTTCACTGTCTTGGAGAAGAAAATTCTAAAACGTTTTTTTTAGAAGAAAAGAAAATGCTTGAGGTATTTGGACTCCCTGTACTATGGGTTAATTCTGATCAGTTGAAAAATGATTAAAAACAGTGTTTTCTTTAACAATACAGTATTTAAAGAACTAAAACCACCTACGGCAGTTAAGCCTTTAGCATTCTAACACTAAAAATAGTAGGCTTCTCACTAATGTCCCTACTCCAAGCTGCTTTTCATAGCACTTTATTTAGGCCATCTAATATTTGTATTTATATATCTGTTTTATAAGTTCCATGAGTTTAACCACTTGTCAATCTTATCCTTTCCCTGGCATTGACAACAGTGCTCAACACATAACTTAATAAATGATTCATTTAAAGACAAACAATAAAATGACATGTGTGTATCTGTGCTAGTCCTAGGGCTTAAAATTCAGGCTAAGCTCAGGGTTTCTTTTTTTTTTTGGGGGGGGGGGTGTCTGTGGAACCTGAACTCTGGGCCTGGGCACTGTCCCTCAGCTCTTCAGCTCAAGGCTAGCGCTCTACCACTTGAGCCACAGCACCACTTCCGGCTTTTTTCTTTTTGCTTATGTGGTGCTGAGGAATCGAACCCAGGGCCTCAGGCATGCAAGGCAAGCGCCCTACCACTGAGCCATCTTCCCAGCCCTAAGCTCAGGGTTTCTGAGTATTTTTTTACTCAAGGCTAGCTTTCTGTCATTTGAGCCCCACCTCCACTTGCAGTATTTTGGTGGTTAATTGTCAGTAAGTATCTTATGAACTTTCCTGCCTAGGCTGGTTTCAAATCACAATCTTCAGATCTCAGTTCCTTGAGTAGCTAGGATTACAGACATGAGCCACTGGTGCTAATCTGACAATTTTTTAATTACATAAAGAGAAGCTGGACATGTTAGTTCACGTCAGTAATTGTAGGTACTTAGGAAGGTCATAGTTTCATGTCAGTATGGACAAAAAATTCATAACACTTCTCAACAAATAGTTGTACAATGTGGTATATGTCTGTCATCCCCATTATGTGTGAAGTTGACATTGGGAGAATAATGGTTCCAAGCCAGCCTGGGTAAAAAAGTTTACCAATTTACTCAGTGAAAGAAACTGGGCATGATGGTGTGTTTCAGTCACTCCAGCTACCACATAAAAAACATACATTAGGAAGATCACCAACCATCCTGTCACATACCTAAGCCAGAAAGCAAAACCCTCCCTACATTAAAATAACCAGTGCAAGAAAGAGTGAAGGCATGGCTCAACATTTGAGTGCCTACTCAGCAAGAGCAAGGCCCTGAGTTCAAACTCTAGTAATCATTTTAATGGATAGAGGCTCTGAAGTCAGGGCTATATGTGATGACAGAGAATTAAAGAAGATGGATTTCTGCTACAAGTCCTACTTAGCCAGAGCATCATTGCTGCTTGTCCTGGCTTTCTACATGGGGTTTCCATACAAACTTTGTTTGATGTTCTATTGGGGGTGGGGGGGGCGCATGTGTGTGTGCGTGCCTGCCAGTCCTGGGACTTGAATTCAGAGCACTGTCCCTGAACCTTTTTTGTTCAAGGCTACTGCTCTACCACTAGAGACATAGCTCCACTTCCCACTTTCTGATGGTTAATTGTAGATAAGAGTCTCATGGACTTTTCTATCCTCAGATCTCAGCCTCTTGAGTAGCTAGGATTATAAGCATGAACTACTCATTCCTGGCTGTTTGTTTTAAATGGTTTCTATTCTTAAAATGTTTGAAAATAGTACTAATATACCACTAAAGTCAATGTACTGTTTCTGATGTAGAGACATAAGAGGAAAGCATCAATTAGTTGAGTATAAATCATATAGAGAAATGAAGGGAAGTTTCAGAAGTAAAGAGCTATATATCTAAAAAATAGTACATTGAGTTTTTCTAACATAAAAGTATAGTGAAGAAGTACAAGTAGCTAGAAAACCAAGCAATAAAATAAGACTATGTTCATACATACAATCTATCATGATAGCTTTACAAATATGTACTGTAAAATGTATTAGTCAAAACTCGGTTTGCTATACCTGGCCAGAGTCTCCAGTACAATACTCAGTAATATCACAACCATTGACAGCGTCTCGACATTCATACCCTCGTGGCTGAAACTACAAATCAAAATTCAGTATTAGGAGCCATGGTTAATTAATATTTCAAAAGTTATTATTTTGTTCTCTGTAAACTCTTCTGCTTTTTCATAAATACCACTAAAATCTTCATGTGAGTCATAATATAGCATAGAAACAAGGCCCAGATGCTACCTCCTAATCTACAGAAAAGATAGTCACAAAAGCATTCAGAGTTCAGATGTTGAAATCACTCTCTAAGTATTATTTTAGGAAAACATTATAATGCAAGATTTGTTTTAAAAAAAAGTAAACACTGGTTTGGCTAAAGACAAGGGAATAACATAATGTGTATAAACATTTAAGATAGTGCTAAAAGATGAATATATATGCCCAATTTTCACTAATTTACTCACTAGCTTGGATATTAATATTGCCTTAGCTAAATATGTATAGTTAAATCACAATGAATTCATATAAACCATCTTCAGTGATGTCAGTGATTGCCTAAGATATATAAACATTTTGTCTGGGGAGGGAATGAGTCAAACAGTAAACAAGGCCATGAGTCTCAAGTAATTCGTAATCTGCTAGTAGACATAAACTGCTAGAATCTTCTAGAATACCATATATATATATATATAAACCCTTAAATTGAAAAACTCAGGTCACATAAATTATGGTTATTGATAATACCATAGGGTCTTATATCTGAGAAAAAGGAATATTAAAAATGACTTTGCAAAGACAACTTGGAAGTCACTGTAGGCAGCACAGTATGAACACATGTACAAACATATGAACATACCTTGTTAAAGCCCAATCTGTCTTCCCTGACTTTATGGAAGACTCAAAAGTCAAGTGAAAAAATATGAGCACTTGCTTTTATGCTCTGAGTTTAAAGTAATTTAGGGTAAGTTCTGAAGAAAAAAGTAGGTCATATTATTTAAAAGACCAAAGGAATTGTCCCTCTCCTCCTCAACAATTTAATTTGGTTCTCATCTGTGTTAGTAGGACAACCTGGTGTGTAAGCAGTCAAGTAATTCTCCCAAGGAAGCAATGAAGGATAAAATGGTGGTGGACAGTGAATAACAGTGATGATAAATGTGATGAGCCTCCCCGTCACAGAACTTATTGTACAACGTTGCAGGTTAGTATGCGAAACATATGTTGTTATATATGTAACATATGTAACATGACAAGCTATACAAGACCTCAATGGACATGCAAAATTATCTGGCTAACCTGTCAATTGAAAACAAGCATAAATGTGTCAGGAACTCACAAGGCAGGAGGTGTTATTACAGCAGGGACCATCACTGCAATGGGCCCCATTGGAGAGTGAGCACTTCTTACAGCACAATCCGTAGCATTCCTAGAGAAAACACTCCATGTGGGTAAGCCAGGAACCTTTGCTGTTGCCCATTCAACATTCTCTCCCCAATTGACTGACACAGGATCTAAATGCCTAGATTCAAAGAAATAGTAAGCAAATATTTCTGGAAAGAACCACTTTGAACACTGATGGGAAGAGTCTTATCTCCCATAAAAACGAGTTGTTCTATCAAAGAGTAGACTCATTTCTTAGCAGGTACCCTCCAGCCCTGGTTAGCTCTCTTACATTCTTCATACCCAGTTTAGTTTTACAAAGGCAAAAAGGTTATCCAATGTAGAAAAGTTTCACAATTTGGTAAAACTTGTCTGCAATGAATACGAGCTATGAATTTTTAAGCGGTAGGGAATTTGATTAGAACAATCCATTAGGCTTCTCCAGACAAGGCCATAAGAACATGACTAATGCTAACATGTCTGAGCTAAGATGAAGCATTGATCAGAGCAACCAGAAAGACAGCGAGACCATGATGAATGATCACACAGGCCTCTCACTAATGCTTTGTTGTTAGCTCTGGGGAAATGCTGTACTGAATGAAGGTAAAGAAGATCTCTGATACCTACCACATGAAAACCACAATCGCATTCCTCTCCAGCTTCCACATATCCATTTCCACATTCTGTGGGCTCAAACAGCTGAAAGAGATTAGGGCGAGAAAATGGATAACTTTTTAATTTATCACAGAAAGTCATCCATATACATGGCCCTATAAGCAGTGAGATTCTTTTGTGACTTGTTATTATGGTATCTTTTATATGAAATTTACATGGGGAATTCTGTCAACTTATTCATAACACTTGTAACAATATATTCAAAAAGGGGGAGATGTCCCTTGGGAGTTTCACTGGTGGTAAGCTCCAGAGATGACCCCTAGCAAGAAAAGTACTTACTATGGAGACAAACTGTCATGAGAAATAGATCATTTTTCATGATTGCTAATGGAGCTAAAATGCATTGCTAATAAGACGAACATATCCAATTCACAGACTTGTCTCATATCTCAAGGTATCTTGGAAGACATAAAAATGGTCAAAAATAGCCGGGTGCCAGTGGCTCACGCCTATAATCCTAGCTACTCAGGAGGCTGAGATCTGAGGATCAAGGTTCAAAGCCAGCCTGGGCAGGAAAGTCCATGAAACTCTTATCTCCAATAAACACTCAGAAAACCTGAAGTGGTGCTGTAGCCCAAGTGGTAGGATGCTCGCCTTAAGCTGAAGAGCTGAGGGACAGCGCCCAAGCCCAGAGTTCAAGCCCCATGACTGACCAAAAAAAAAAAAAAAAAAAGTCAAAAATTTATACAATCAAGTAAATGTAAATGAAGTCAGAAAACTACTTTGCTAGAAATCTAAGCACATCATTTTCATTGAAAAAAAAAAGCCTCCACTGGCTGTCTTAAGCATGCATATACATGTATAAATGCATAGAGATCTTTCTGTCACTGCTGGAGTCAGATTTCAAGAAAAACCCACTCTACTGGTGCCACAAACTTGCTTGGTGAATATTATAACAGACCAGTGATGGTTGAGGTTTATGGGAAACATGATGATTTCCCGTCACCAGGAGCAGGATTATCTGGGTATGATCATCATCCCTAGGTAAAGACTGGAGCAAAACATCCCAACACACATGTGCAAAACCATGGGCAGGGAAAGGAGGAAGGGATTGCACTCAGCAGCTTTACACACCCCAAAGCACAGATTCCATCCAGTTCATCCAAGAATGCCTTTACCCTCCCTCCTTCCACTTCCAGGAAGGGAAAACTATCATAAGGAGCATGGAAGTTGGGTAAGACTTAACAGTCTTGCTCTGTGCTGTGTTGACCAGGAGAAAGGAGAAAACAGAAGAAAAAAGAAAAAGAGAAAGAAGGGCCAGCCAGAACATGACCAGCACTGTATCAAGCCTCCATTCTTTCTTTTGTAGGGCCTTTCTCCATTCTGAGATGGGAAACTATCTCAAACCAGATGGGAAACAGCAATCAGAGAGATTCTTAGAGCACAGAAAAGTGCACACAGTGTGAAAATAACATGCAGCACATGAATACATTCATTGACAAAAAGCAATTGAGGAAAAAGCAGTTCTTTTTACATACATATGAACTATTCTATTGTAATCTATAGGATCTTTTTAAACATTGTAATTTGTACTTCAAAAAGATAAGTGACTCTGTATTTACTAACTTGTAAAAACTGAATATGTATACTCAATTATTTTTATATTGCTACCAAGTTATTGGAATAATTTTCTTCCTACTCACAGGTAATTTCAGAGATGCAATGATGGATCCTCATGCATAAACTAGAAATGTTAACCTTTCCGAACAAGCGAATGTTGTTTCCACAGGCTTCTAATTAAGTGGTGTGCTACAAGGCAGGCCAAATTAGCCATGTATATTGCAATTCAAAAATGCCAGCATCTCCCATTAGTTCTTTATTACTGATTCACTCATTGCAAACACTTCCAAGCCTTCAAGTTTCTGGCACTCGGGGATCGATGCCTCATAGGGCAAGCATCCTACTTTAACACTCAGGGCCACTTCGAAAGTCCTGTTGTTTTTCCACAGCTTTACTGAGATGTTCTGCAGAGGTCAGACATCAAGCTATCATCTCCTGACTCCAGCAATATCACTTAATTATGAGTATGGAATAAATTATTCTATCAATTATTCACATTCATCACTGATTTTTTTAAAAAAAGGTTAATATGGTTTTACAGCTCTCCTAATTTTCAGATTATTAAACACTTTCTTCAGCAATGAACTATATTTGACTTATGAAGTTGTATTTTAAAGGAAATAGGAAGTTTGCCATATTAAATTTCGACACCATCTGTCAATTAGCATTGACCATGTCTTTTTGTCTGTTAAGCAACTTTATCTCCAAATATGCTATGTCAGCCCACAAAACTATATCTAAAGGCTTCAGATAGTGGACTGAAGAATCTGGTTTTGCTGGATTCTATGAAGGTGATGTGAATCATCTAGGAAGATGATTGTGACTAGAGTTCTACAGTAAGACTTACAAATCTTACAATACAAATGACAAATAAGGACTTTTAATTTAAGATAAATTTTAGTCAAATGTGTTTTCTGGAAACTCAAAAAATATTGCTTCTAGAAATGTGCAGCTTTTTCAATTCTGGAACTGTGGATGAGGGATTGCAATACTGCATGTACATATTCTGGTGAGATGCCAATTGATAATGAATATCTTGGTAAACAGACTATGCAATATAAATACTTAAAATATTAATGATACCCATAAATCGTATGGATTATTGTTTGGCTGACTGATATTAGCAACGCTTCCTGACACTCAAAAAAAAAACAAACAGACCACTCAAAAAAAAAAAAAAAAAAGCCTGGTAGTTCATGCCTGTAATCCTAGCAACTCAGGTGGCTGATTTGAGGATCATGGTTCAAAGCCAGTATGGGCAAGACAGTCCTTGAGATTCTTATCTCCAATTAACCCTCAGAAAACTGGAAATGGAGCTGTGGCTCAAAGTGATAGAGCACTAGCCTTGAGCAAACAAGCTCAAGGACAGTGACCAGGAGGAGTTCAAGTCCCATGACTGACAAAAGAAAGAAAGAAAGGAAGAAAGAAAGAAAGAAAGGAAGGAAGGAAGGAAGGAACGAAGGAAGGAAGGAAGGAAGGAAGGAAGGAAGGAAGAAAACGAAAGAAGAAGAAGAAGAAGAGAGAGAAGATGAGGAGAAAGAGGTGGAGGAAGAGATAATAATAATAATTCCCTAGAACAACAAGAAGAAATTCAATTAATTTTTAACAAATGGATTAAGGTAACACTTTATATTAATCTAAACCACATATCTCTTAGCACTATTTTCAAAGCTTTTTAATTGAAGCATATTTCCCTTTTGGAGGTCTTGCCTAGGTGCAGCCAGTACTGAACACTGTTCTACAGTTTGGTATTCCTTGAAAGGCAAGCCTGTAAGACTTTTTATAGCTAAATATCAATGTGACCAACAAGCCATTGCAACAATGAGACAATGAGATGTACAAGCCCTTATGTCGAAAAAGGAACTTTACAACTTGGGGGGGGGGGGGGGAAGGATGGGAAGGGATGGGAAGGGGAAACAAAGGAGGAGGCAACAATGTTTGATAAGAAATGTACTCATTACCTTGCCCATTTAATTGTAACCCCTCTGTACAGTATTTTCACAATAAAAAAAAGAAAAAGGAAAAAAAAACCTATTTTCAGGCTGGGATGTAGGTCAGTGGCTAAGCACTTGCCTAGCAAGTACAACATTCTGGGTTTGATCTCTAGTACTAAAAAAGAAAAGACAAATACACACACGCGTGTGCACACACACTCTCACACACACACACACACAGAGATACATACAGATTCTTAAAAAGACAAATATATACAGAGATATATCTGTTTATATCTCTGTATATATATGTATATATACACAGATTTTTTCTTTAAAAAAGAAGCCTGTTTTCTAAGACAAGCAGCTGATGTTTGGCAGTATTCCATTGTTAAACATTGAAGAGATAATTATACTTTTTCAGTGACTAACCTTTGTTGGTCTGTTGAAAAGACATGCTCCACCCCCTCTCTGTAAAAAATCTCTATACTCCAAAATACTGCACTTTGAGAACTTTCTGGAATGGGATACCCTGAGGAAACAAAGAATCTAGTATGTAAATTATTTACCAAAAGCAGTCATCAGAGATTTAAAAAAATTAAAACCCCTGAATTAGATCAACATGCTCATTCTAGAAAAAATATATACACAAATTCAGACAAAGGTACTTACAGTCAGATGCTAAATAAGATTATGTGATGGAATTTGCAAAAGACAGATATACAAAGAAAAATCACAGAAGTGGGGATTTGATTACAACTTGTTCATCAGTCAAGTTTTCCTGTAACTTGTGCTGAAGGAAGTTTGTTAAAGGTTCATTACAACTCTTTCCATTTACACTATATTTCAAAGTAGGATCACTGTTATTAATCACTATATATGGTCACAAAATCAATAAAGACAAATTATGTCTCAAAAAAGGCAAATTATTTTGGCTTTTCTAACTCTGTCCTCAATTAAAGGAGTTCATGAGCCTACTAGACCTAACTTTGGAGGAGAAATTGGGGGATCCATTTATTATAACTCAGGTTTAAACAATGCAAATTTCAGTTAAACAAAGAAGCCATAAAGAGACTGCTGAGCCATATGTATGAATGTTTTGAGTATAAAAACAGAATTAGAGTAAGTTCCTGTGAATAACTTTCTGACTCTCTATTTTGAATAGTATCAGGCAAAGGTCAGGTGTGGGAATGCACATTTATAATCCTAGCTACTGAGTAGATATAAGAGGACCACATGTAGAGGCCAGCCAAGGCAAAGTTAGTGTGACAGCCCATCTGAAAAATAAGCTGAAAGTAAAAGGTCTAGAGGTCATGACTAAAGTAGTAGAGCTCATGCAAACTTCAATCCCAGTATCAAGAGAAAGAAAAACAGAGTGGGAGGGGGCAGGGGAAGGAGAGAGAGAGAACCCAACTTCCTGGACAATATTCATGAGTAGGCAGGAAGGAGCCCTAATGTGATTTATTCTATCAAGTTAATTCACAGTGTATGTAAATACATAGTAAAATATTACACACATGGTCAAGGTTAAGCTGAATCAGGCACACTGTGGCTCCTTAGGAATATCTGTAGTAGTACCCAGTTTGAGAATGTCAAGCCATTCTAAGATATAATACAGTATCTGTATTCTGACATGTGAGGGTAAAGCTCACTACCCTACCACTGATCTTCTATAAGAACTGTATAAAAAGTCATACTTGAGAAAATGTACATTAACTGTAACTTATTTCATTATATCCCATTTAATACTCAGTCCAATAACTACTTTAGAAACTGGAAGTTTAAAAGACAAAAGGTGTTGGATGTGATGGTACACACCGGCAATCCCATTCTCAGGAGGTTGAAATAGGAGGATCACAAATTCAAGGCTAGCATGGGCTACACAGCAAGGCCGTTCCTCAAAAAAAAAAGCAAAAAAACCTACAAACTTTCTAAAAAGCAGAAGGAGAGAAGGATGAAGAAGAAGCATGTATGTGTGTGTCTGATAAGAGGTATCTCCTTTCATAAAACTAATGCTATCAATGCTGCTATTTCTATATATGCCATAAATTACTAAGATGTGGAACTGCATTTCTAGAACTCTGCTCTAAAGTTGCAGAGACAATGGCTGATTCTGTAAAGCTGTCCCCAAGAGGTGGAATACTGGGCAGGCCTGGTGGACAGGAAGAGGGGGTGACACTACCAGCAACCACGCTCAGAGAAATGGGCACAGGACCAGAAATTGCAAACGCATAAGAAATAAAGTAAGGGCTGGGAAGGTGGCTCAGTGGTAGAGCACTTGCCTTGCATGCCTGAGGCCCTGGGTTCAACTCCTCAGCACCACATAAGCAAAAAGAAAAAAGCCGTAGGTGGTGCTGTGGCTCAAGTGGTGGAGCGCTAGCCTGAGCTGAAGAGTTGAGGGACAGCGCCCAGACCCAGAGTTCAGGCCCCACGACCGGACCCCCCAAAAAAAGAAATGAAAAGGAAAAGAAATAAAGTAAGTAGGACAATCCCATGAGTAAGGGAAGGAAACTTCTCCAGCACACTAAGAGTGGGCTGTAGCTTAGGAGGCCTTGGGGAAAAGGTCCCTGGGAAAGGACTGTGTTACTAGGTTTCAGTTCTCAGTTCCCCAAATATCCGCAAAAGGAAAATGCAAGCAGGTGAGTGAATGTTCAAAAGCCTACCACCAGAAGACTTTCAGGCACAATATATCTGACTTAATAAAGCTTTCCTGGTTCTATAAGAAGTATAGTACAATTTTTATTACCTTAAATGTATATATTTACAAGTTGTTTAAAATGCAAATTGATGGCTAAATTGATCTTCACTGACTACTTTAGGTAGACAACCAGCCTTCATGCTAAGTGTGCTAAAAAATTAATGCCTCTCCCAAACTTAGAAGCATTTAGTAATGTGCTTCCTCTAAGGGTTAGTAGGGAGAAGGAACAAATACATTTTGCTTTCATCGCCAACTTTAAATAAAAAAATTAAAATACAAAGTGAATTATCCTAGTCAATTTTTAAATATCAGACAATTAATTGTGGAGTCTCTACTAAATGCTTAGTGTAAGAGACCAGTACCCAAAAGACCATCTTTAACTATATGCAGAAATGTTAGCAAAAGGTATCTATCAATGCACATATAATAAAAACTTACCCTGTTTCCTCCATGATGCAGCCACCCCAGGATTCTGTGCAGTCACACTCTAGTCCAATGAAACAATAAAAGCAACAGGGGGAAAAAGAAACAGAAGTCACATCTTCGATTTGTGTTACAGTTCCTACGAAAAACGCATTACCACTTCCATGTTGAACAGGTACAGACTGAGGTCTTCTAGTCTGTAAACCTCAGAGTCCTTAAATCAATATTTCATTATCTTTTACAAAAGTGTAAATTGCTTCCTAAGAAAATAGCTGGCAGGAAATACAACTGTGGCATCTCCTCATTTTTGTACTCAGACAATTCAATTCGTTTCCTCATTCCCTCATTTACTGAGAGGAACCCTGGGCTGGAGAGTGGAAGGCTGAGTTCCAGACCAAGTTATACCCTTGGCAAGTGACTTAGGCCCCCTTGGTGTTCTTTAGAGGTGTCTTTACCTCTAATCTAGTAGAGAAATTATGTCTCTCTGCCTATGTCCCAGAGTGATTCTGGGGTTCACACAGATGGCATATCCCATGCTTGCTGTGAACCCAACTAATTATCAACAAAGTATGACTAAAAGTTAGACAAAAGAATTCACTTTCCTGGAATCAATACCAGAATTGGGCAGAGACTTAAAGACCAATCTACTAAAATGTTCCATTAAAGAGAGCAAGCTCAGCCAGGTGTTGGTGGCTCATGTCTACAACCCTAGCTCTTGAGGAGGCTAAGATATGTGAATCATGATTCAAAGCCAGCCTAGGAAGGAAAATCCATAATACTCATCTCCAACTAACCACCAAAAAGCCAAAAGTAGAGCTGTGGCTCAAGTGGTAGAGAGATAGCTTTGAGCAAATGCTCAAGGATAGCACCCAGTCCCTGAGTTCAAGCTAAAAAAAAAAAAAGAGTAATCTGAAATAGAAGTAATAATCATTTAAAGAAAAATCATATATTTTACCTAGATATCAGGTATTGCAATTTATTTTTTTCATTTATTGTTTTCCATTTTATTTTCGATCATAAATAACAACATGAACTTAAAATCACAATTCAGAAAAAATAATAATCACTACATAAATGAACAATTCACAATAGAACCAAGAATTTTAGGAAAGGAGAAACTATGATAACCAGCATCAGGAATGACTATTCCTCACTCTGTCATGCTAGCTGACCAAGAAGCAGTTCGAATTGACCCCAGCACTGGCCTCCAGGACTTTCAAACAAGGTTGTCAACTGGTGAAGTCCTGATTTTAAGATGTCTATGCTAACAAAAATCTAAATACTTTTTTTTAATGTAAAGCAAGAATTTCTTTGGGAAAGCAAATGCTCTGAACAAAGTATTAGTAAATAATAGTTTAGGCAACTTTACAAAATGCATCCCAACACTTGTGATAACCACATATTTGATCACATGTCTATAAAGTGCAGTGTTTAAAGCTCATGGGAACTTGATTCCATTTTCCATAATATTATGCATTAAGGACAAAAAAACTATAAAAAGGTATGTAAATACTAAAGTAGATTTTTTTCTTTTCTTCTTTTTGGAGTAAAACCTTACTCCTACTGTCTCATATTTTCATAGAATAGAGAGGGCTTAATTTTAGTAAACAACATGAGTAAACATGGTGGTCTCTTTATAGAAGATCATGCTATAATATCTGTAGGCCTTGAGCACAAGTAATTCTTGCAATATAGAAAAAAATACTAAAAACAATCCTACTGTGTTGGTATAAAGAGGAATATAATTCAGGTTGGATTTTATTCTGATATTAAAAGAAATTAAAACTTTTCATGGACCCCACCCCAAACGATGACAGATCCTAGATACTTTACTTGAAAAGTCATCCCTCTTTTTCTATCTCTCGTCTAATTACTGAAAGTAGCATTACTCACAGAAGTTGTCATGCTTCTGTCCTTCATGGGATCTATGGCCTTGTTTGCATCATTCCTTGGACTACCCTGGGCACCAGAGGATTCTGTCCTCTCTCGCCTGCCCCAAAGCCAGGAAACAGGCTCTGTCTAGGGAAGACTTCTTCTCTAACTTTTCTGATGTGAATAGGTAGGACATAACTACAGTTTAAATATGAGCTCCTTTTATTTCCCAACCCACTAACTACGTGATAGAGTCTCATTTAGTATCTTATGCCTACAACTGAAATTATTAAACCCAAAGGGGAAGTAATCACTGCCCTTAATCTCAACATTCAACCCCATGAAAAGCAGCCAATTCACGTCATGAGAAACTGAGTAGAACTTTATAGATTTATGGAAAGGACGTGTCTTTAACCTAAATAATATTTACCTGAAGTTACCTATTTTATAATTTTTATGGTAATATTTTTGTCAGTAGTGGGGCTTGAACTCAGGGCCTGGGTGATATCCCTGAGTGTTTTAGCTCAAGGCTAGTGCTCTACCACTTAGAGCCACAGCTCCACTTCCTGTTTTATAATTTTTTGGAGGAAAGAAATAGACTACAAATAGAGTACAGTAGATTTGAAGTGAAAAAAGTATTTATTGATTTGACATGCATTATAACACAGAAGGACAGGGAAATGGGAATAAGGTCAATGTACATACTCAGCTTTCTGCTAGAAGGTTCCCATTGGATTCCGAGGTTTTGAGCCAGGCTCTGAGATAACACTTGTGCCACTGCCATTGGAAGACCATACTGTTTTTCAGAGTTGAAAGTGTGTGGGAAACATTTGAGAGAGTGCACAAAGCTAGTTATTATTTCTTAATTGATATCACACATCACCTCAGTTCCCTAAGTAGAACCTCACAACATTGCAAGATGGCATGTGCTCCTTACCACTTCTTCCTTGCTAAAAGTGGGACCAAGAATCAGAAAGGCCCCCTTCCTACATGGTATCTCCCAGACACAAGGACCCACATGCAAATGTGCAATACAAGTTGCAAACACTGTGCTCCAGTTCAATTCATATCCAACCAAGGATAAATTCAACTCAACTATAAGAGAAAGCTCACAGTAAATGGTGACTACTAGGATGACTTGGTAAAACACATACCAGTATTGACCAGGATTTAGGTATAGTTGGTTAGGTTGTAGAGGATGCTTTTGAAAACTAAGAATCTCTTTATAAAAAATAAAGGTGTCAAGAACCCAAGCCATGTTATTAAGAAACCATTTGTTTCAATGCATCTTTTAGAGAGGTAGGTAAAAGACACAAGATTTTTTAAAGTTATATAGAAAGAATAAAAGATACTAATACTATAAACTGACTTAAATATATTAAACATGCAGAAAAAAATCATATATATATATATTTTTTTTATTTTTTTATTTTTTGGTGTCATGGGGCTTGAACTCAGGGTCTGGGTGCTATCCCTGAGCTTTTTCTCACAAGGCTAGCATCTACTACTTAAGCCACAGTGCCACTTCTGGTTTTCTGGTGGCTAACTAGAGATAAGCGTCTTATGGACCTTACTGCTGGTCTGCCTTTGAACCATGGTTCTCAGATCTCAGCCTCCTGAGTAGCTAGGATTACAGGCATGAGCCACTGGCACCCAGATCATGATTTTTAAAAGTAACACAGATGGATAAGCTTGTAAAAATGTATCCTATTGAATCTATAGAAGCTCAAAGCCAGCTTTTGGCTTGCATTTGATACTCAATGAGATCACTATAAACCCAAAGGACCTCTTTGAATCAGTTCTACATTCTAATCTAAGCCATTCATACATGCCCCGTTTTCAAGTCATCATTTAAAACAAGGCTGGAAAGGGATGCAAGCTATACCGTAAGGAAGAAAGATCAGATGCAATGATAAAACTCTACTTAAAGAAAATCAGTGAAACTTACCTCATTCACACCAACACCTCTTGTGCGAGAACAGACACCTCCAAAGAAACTCAGACTACTTCTCTTATAGTGGAATGTCACACGCCTCAAGAAAACAAAGTAGTCTTAGAAACCAATGTAATGATCACCATACAAACTCTGCCAAAACATGTTTATTCTACTACTCTGAAACCACCCTCCTCCAGGAAATAAAAAACTGTACTTTAAATACATTTAAATTTATGTCATCATAAATATTTTTCAATAGAACTTTATTGTTATTACTAAGATGTCGTAACAGAAGGGTTAATATTTCATAAGTCAGGTAATGAGTACATTCCTCTTTGGACAATGTCATCCCTTCCTTCACTTTTACATAGTTTCACTTTCCTGTCCTTGCCCGCAAGTTGCATAGTTTATTTTCTACACAGCGTATCCTGAATACCATGCCTGTATTGATCACCCTTCCTCCGTCCCTTTCTATTCCCCTAATTTGTCTCCCCATAAAAAACAAGACCACCACCATCAACAACAAAAACTCCATGTTTCCATTTCCTGGAATTTGTTTCAATAAAAAGTATTTAAAGTGGGGGTGGGGGAGAAGAGGGGTAAGGGGAAAGATGGGAGGGCAGGGATGGAAAGGGGAAACAAAGAAGGAGGCAACAATGCTTGATAAGAAATGTACTCATTACCTTGCTTATACAATTGCAACCCCTTAGTACAGTATTTTCTTTTTTTAAATTTTTTTTTTTTTTTGTATTTTTTTTGTCGGTCTTGGGGCTTAAACTCTGGGCCTGGGCGCTATCCCTCAGCAATTCAGCTCAAGGTGAGTGCTCTACCGCTTGAGCCACAGCACCACTTCTGGTTTTCTAGTGGTTTACTGGAGATAAGAGTCTCATGGACTTTCCTGCCCGGGCTGGCTTTGAACAGTGATCCTCAGATCTCAGCCTCCTGAGTAGCTAAGATTACAGGCGTGAGCCACTGGTGCCCGGCTTCTGTAAGGTATTTTCACAATAAAAAAAATCTTATTAATAAAAAAATAGCATTTATTTAAAATGTTCAGAGGAGTTACACCTTTGGGTTCCTCCTCATCACAAATATTTTTAAGGTCATGTTGTATAAAATAACTTGAGCTGAGGATGCCTTAACTGAGTACAAGTAAGCATCATGTACTTGCACAGGAATAAAAGAAAAAAAGATAAGCAGGGACTGGGAAGGTGGCTCAGTGGTAGAGCGCTTGCCTTGCATGCCTGAGGCCCTGGGTTTGATTCCCCAGCACCACATAAGCAAAAAGAAAAAAAGCCGGACGTGGCGCTGTGGCTCAAGTGGTAGAGCGCTAGCCTTGAGCTGAAGAGCTGAGGGACAGCACCCAGGCCCACAGTTCAGGCCCCATGACCAGACGTCCCCCCCCCAAAAAAAAGATAAGCAGGACACAGACATTGGTGTTTTTCTAACAGAATATCTTGTACTTATTCAAAATATCGCTCATCGTTATAAATTGACGATTAGATTCAAGTTAAAGGGAAAGATAAGAAAGAAGGAAGGAATGATTGGATTGGATTGGTCCCTACATGGAACGTTGGAGGACTATCTGGAAACAGCTTTGCCATGAGCAGAAGGGATCAGCTCATTATAGCAAAAATAAAGTATAGCATCCTCTTTCTTACTGACAGTAGCTCAACTGTATTTAATGGTTCATCCTAAAATACTTTCTTTCCTAAGCTGTCTTACAGTGAACTGTGGTCCTATAACTAAGAGCTAGCAAATAAATGGCTTATTGTTAAAAAATTGTTGCATGCAAACTTTCAGAAAAACTGGCTTACAAAATTTGACTCAACTAGACAAAGTGACCCATTGCCCGTCTCCCTGTTCTGTAGTCTGCACCAAGATTGGAATTGTACGAAGGGCTGGAATACCAGCAGCCATTTTGAATTGTGATTTGATCTTGAGAATGGAAGGTATGCACTCCATAAGTATAGTAAGGGTCATGAAACCTCCAGCATCTTAGTACTGGAATTCTACTGCCATGCCTCTTTTATAAGAGTGGCATTAAGGGAAAACTTGCTTACCCTTATTTTTTATATGTAACATAACTGGAATGTACTTCAAGCCAAACACTACAGTAAAAGACTGAGGTACGTACGAGATGAGGTGCACAGCATCGGCATGCTGCTTGATGCGCTGACGATATTTGGCAAACTCGTGGAGCATCTGCACAGGGCTGTTGGTGATGTCAATGTGATCCTTCTCAGTCCAGGTCTCTACAGCCACCAAGACAACCCTGGTATTGAGCTGTTCCTTGTAAATCTATGGGTATACAACAGGACAGGTGCAGGAGGAAAACACTGGGTCAAACATGCACGATCAATGAGTCAGTCAGTGGAAGGACAGGAAAGGGGAGGTGAGAGAACATGGGGTCAGAGTTAGCTCATAATAGAAATTCTGCTTTTCCTTTCTCTTTCCCAAAAGAAAAAAAGAAAAAAAAGCACACAATCTGATGTCATGTCACCTACTCTTCTAGAAGGTCATTTCTACCCCAGATGGACACTTTTGGTGGTAATCTATGAGATGATAAGATAGTAGGCATGTAGGGATGTCAAGATTCCTATGCCAGGCTGTAACTGAACAAGGTAAGTAAGACCACCTTTGCAAACCTTCCCGGAGGTACAGGTGGTGTCTGATATACCAGTTCTAAGTACAATACAGCCAGTTATTCTGCCAGGATAAAAAAAAAAAATCACCCAACAATATGGCTGGCTTGCCTGTGGAGCCATGTATATGAAAACCAAAAATAACACTAGATAAGAATTGTGGGTCTAGCCAAAAAAAAAAAGAACAGCCTATTTGTGTCACCCAGCTCACTCTAGCAACAAGGTGCGACCACTCACAAGATTTACATTGTTACCCTTCTCTTTCTCTACTTTTGGCCAAATTGCTAAATAATTCACACCGTTAAGCAATTTCTATGAGTGCTGTTATTTTGTAGTACTTTTAAACTGATTAAGGAAACGATGGATGATCTTTGATCACACTGAAGCAGGGACCCATCATCATGGCTGCACCAAGCTGAAGCTGTAATGACTTAACACATAGGTGAGTTCAGTGTAACATCTTTTTAAAATTCACGGTCGGCTTCCGATCCATATATGGTATCACAAAATAAAAAATGAAACTTTGCAGGATGTGATTCTACTCAATCATGCTGAAATGACTAACCCAGTGCTACCAAGTAAACAGCTTCCACAGGGGAAAAGATGTGTTTAAGATTCTCTTTTCCATATTCAGTAATAGCTTTCCTCTGAGAAGATTGACAAGAGCTGAAATTAAAGAAAGTAATAAGCCAGGCGTAAACTGACTCCCAGAGGTTTGATCCTAATTTTATGTTACATATTCTCTGCACATGCACTCATATTGTAATTTTGCTCAGATGTGCCTACCAGCCACATAACATATGCAAGGTGCACAAAACATGCTATGAATATTTACATGATGGGGGGATGGGACTATTTAGAAGGCAGTTCCATGGAGTAAATAAATATCATTCAGATGCTTGGTAAATTTATACAAAGGATTCTTTTCCACAGTTAAGAGGCAACATAAAATAAATACCAGATAAAATACACTTAACTGAAGATAAGACCACTTTTCCTTAGAATATGAAAAGTGGCCTGCTCTGTTTAATTTATGTGAGCCAAATTGAATTATTTGTTGGAGCATAATTCATAACAATCAGATCTATAGAGTTCCTAACTAAGGCAAGAAAAAGGAAGAAAATCTTAACAATCATTTTTGTAACTTATAAAACAAAAGGAAGAATATCACCAATAGTAAGTATCTGTAAGGTTAGAAGCCTTTGAAGGAGGTATGAATTTGTGTTTCAAATTAGCTTTATTTGGAGACTATACTTAATTCTGTCTAGATTTAAAGTTGAAAACATTCACTATGGGAACACTAGAAAATACATTAGTATCCTTTTTACTTATTGTTTACTTTATCTATATTTTCCAAAGAGACTCTACCTCAATATTTAGACTTTCTCATGGACACCATCTATGCAAGAAAAGCTCAAATTGTTACTAAAAAAATCAGTACAGTCTGCCATGTAAAATGTTCATTCTTTTTGGTAGCTAATTTTCTCCACAGCTTTTTATTCCCCAGGGATTCTGGTGACAATGAGACCTAGCTAACACTTAGAGGCAATATTGTACCGTTATTATGTTAATAAAACATTTTAATATTTAAAGAAATGGAAATGCTAATTTCCCTTATTTGGTTGTTATTCACTGTACACATCTTAAATTATTACATTGCACTTCTTAAGTATGTATTATTAAAATAATAATAATTAATAAAAAGTATGTATTTAAAAGAAAGTAGTAATGTTGGTGTACTAATTCTGAGAATATTCAATTGTGAAGCCAATTACTTTTTAATCCTATCCTATACCCTTTCCAGAAGAATTAGGAATTGCATTTTTACTCTTTCCCAAGAAACAGCTAAGGCAACAAGTGAGCAAATAAGAGATGGAGATATAAACCATGCCATCTTGGTAAAAATAGGTCCAAGAATACAAGGATACTTACAGAATCCACAAGGTTGACCACCGATTTTGCAAAGTTGTTGGTATGTGCATGAGAAGAGCGATGTTTCTTATACTACGAAAAGAAGAGTTACCAGTCATTGCTAAGTCATATTTGACTGTGAAATATCAATACTGCAAAAAGCAGAAATCTCTTAGCCACAGTAGAAATGAGGATGAAAACTATTTAATCTGGCTTGGTCTATCTTATCTTGGATATAATGGTGCTGTGTTATCTTTTCTTTTGTTTTTACTTTTTTTTGCTTTCTTTCTGTTAGGCAAAAAACTATAACTGAAATACCCAGAATGTTGTAGGCAATGGAACCTGCATGAGAAACTTCACTCCTAAGAAATAGTTCTAATTCAATCTTATTGTCTTCCTATTCAATTCTTTTATGGTTTCTCTGAAATGACATTCAATTTGTAAAGAGCTTAGACCAGAAAATAGTGCAGTCTCAATTGGATGTCATCCTTACTTTAAACTCAGGGACATTCATGCATCAAGAAATACCTCTCACACGTTATTTTAGATGCTGTCCATAATAGGAAATGAATCTGGCATACGTTTTGTATATTCCTCAAGAGAAATGCCACTTCCTTTGCCCACTGTCACCATATATATTTGGCAGGCTCCTTTACTTCATTCTCTCTTTACCACTGAGAATATTTGCTTAAACAAGAAATAAGTATGCTTTAATGTTTACATACCTCCTGTTTATTTCCTACAACACTAATAACTCTGGGGACCCACGATAGATGTGCAGAAAAACTGATTATAATGCCACTGCTGGCAGCATCCACTAAAATCCACTGCTATTACATACCTTGGTTATTCATATTATTGCTACCCCTTTGTGTCATAACTTGACCTCAACACTCTTAATGCATTTGTCCTTTTAAAAAAAAGCTTCAATGTAAACACATAATTGGGTCATAAAACATTACATTAATCTAAAGCTGTTCAGGCATCTTAAATGGTTTCTTAAACTTAGAAATAGTTTCAGTAAACAGTTCAGCATTTTGAGTTGCCTAGACATTTCTACAAGCTGACAATTTTCAAAGATACCCTTTAAGAGTAAAAGCAAAAGTCTAAACATGAAGTTTCTTTGAGGTTATAAAAATGTTTTAGAACTAAACGGAGACAATGGTTGTTAATGGTTGTACAACACTGTGAAGGCAGTAAGTATGATGGAATTGTTTAAATATATTGCAAAGTCTTGATATTAAAAATTACACAGGAGGGAGAGAAGGAGGAAGAAAAGAGGGAAAAGGAAGGAAGGAAGGAGGGAGGGAGGGAGGGAGGAGGAGGAAGGCAGGCAGGCACTAGCTGACACTCTCACCTATATTCTGGTCCTCCAGTGTTACATACATATTAAAGTTAATATTATATTGTTTTTGAATATTCATTTGTTCTTTTTGGAGACTTCCCTTCACAGTATAATGTTCACAGATAACGTAACTTGTTGAGCTGTCCTGCTGACGTGGAGGATGCTCACCAGACTGAAGCTCACAAATCGTGGTCCAATATTCTCAGAGCAGTTAACTAATCTCAGAGCAGTTAACGAAACTGAAATGGAGCATCAGGTTGTGCACATTCTGAATTTGAACACATCAGTTTGCTGCTACCTGGGGACATGGCTGGAGATAATTTCCTCTGATCCCATTCAGGGGGTGCAGGTGCATTCACTCCCCACTCCAAGAGCAAAGCAATCCCTAAGCCGTGTGTCTGGAGATGCAAATGCACCAAGCCCCTAAAGGGCCAAGCGGCATGGCACCCTGGCCCTCACTCCATCAGAGGAATTGAGGGAGCCCTGCGTGATGCCAGGCAGCATAACAGCAGAGTTGCTTGCGCCAAGCCTCACCAACTTCATTTCAAACCTGATTCATTCACTGGTGTCCTGGGAGCATCTAACCTCCTCCTCGCTCCCTCTTCTGGTTAGTTGCTAATCTCCCTTGAGCAAATACAACTCATTCCTGAGTAACCTCACTTTCTGGGCAGAACCCCCACCCCCACCCCAGTATAATAAATGTTCCTCTAGTATTGGAGGCATTTTCTCCATGGAAGGAAATCCCCAGTGTACTTGTGGTCTTGGTTCCAAACCCCAGGCCAACTGTGTGATACTTTATAAACTTCACTCTTAAAAGGGAAGAAGGAAAAGAAGAAAGAAGGAGGGGGGAGGGGAGAGAGAGAGGGAGAGAGGAAAACATGACTTCCAAGTTACAGCCTGCCAAAGCATAATGTTTTCCACTTATTTCCTACTTATAATTTACAAATGTCTGGTTGGCTTCTGAGAAAGATCTCTGTGTGGGCTGTGGGGTGAGTGAATGAGAAAGGATCAAGAATGGAGAAGAGTGGGATACTACTGAAATAGTCCAGGGTACTCCTACCTACTCAGCAGGCTAAGATCTGAAGATTGCAGTTCAAAGCCAGCCCAGGCAAGATAAGTCTCTGAGACTCTTCTCTCCAATTAGCCACCAAAACGCTAAAAGTGAAGCCATAGCTCAAATGGTAGAGCTCTATCTAGCCTTGAACATAAAAGCTAAAGGACAATGCTCTGAGTTTAAACTCCAGGATTGGCACCAAAAACAAAAACAAAAAAACAGAGGCAGGGGAGCTGCAGAGAGAAGTACGTGGACTCAAGGAACATTATGAAGGTAGATGTCTCAAAACTTGAAGAAGGTGAGGAAGAAGACTAAAAAGTAACTCCCCAAATCTGAAATCTAAATAAAAAGAGGTGGCAGTGTTGTTCACAATCACAAGAAAGGAGGGTGAGGGAGAAGTTTTGGACTAGGGAACTTGGTCCATCTTCTGCTGCAGTGAAAGTGTTGTATGGTAAGACAGAGCAAGTGTATTAGTTGGAGATTCCTTTTTCGAATGAGGCCACTAATGTCAAAAACTAGTGGATTTTGCACAAAATGCCTTTGCGAGGACAGTGGAAAACTGAAGTCTATCATACAAAGATCATGCCCTCTATTGCCTAGGAGGCTATTTAAAAAAAAGAAACAAAGTAGTTGTACAAAGGATTTGCCATTCAACAAAGCAGTTTGTGAATACAATGCATTGTGATCTATGTCACCTTGTTCATCATTCTCCCCCATCCCTTCCAACCCCATCTCTTCCCTCAACTTTAATTTTGCAGGATATGCATTGAATTGTAAGACTGCATTCCCCCCGCCTTCCTTTCCTCTCTTCATTCATCTACACCCGCTTCCTCTTGATTCCACTCAGCCAGTCTAGGAAGCTTATTATTTTTATACTCTGAGGGGGAAAAAATTTACTTAAGACTATAAATTTAGATGTAGCAACACAAGTCTTTGGAATTGGTCTTCCAATTATAATTATAAAATGATGTATCATTCATGAAGATTAAAAATACTTCTGCATTTGGAAAATCATAGTTTTCTTTTCTTTTTTTTCTAGTTCTTTTCCAAAAGCCCTCCCTCCAAATACTGTTAACATGTCAATCTGAGCAGTAAGTTTCCAGCAATATGAATGTTGGAGGACACATGTATCTTGGAGTTCTGATTGTGAAATGCTAAATGTGAGAGGTCAATTAAGTTCTGAAATAAGAGGTGACAAGTCAAATTAGTTACATTAGGAAGGCACTCACAGGTTAAGGCTGTAAAGCAGAGAGTGCTCATTCTAAAGACTGAGTCTGGAAGCTGTTACTAAAGGAGAGGGTAAAGGAGGACAGTCTTAAACCACACCAAAGAGCACTCTCAGAATTCCAGGGGTCAGATTTAAAAGATTTAAGAGAAACACCCACCCTATAACACACATAGAAGAACCTCCATGTAACAGAAGAGAGGAAGAAAATGGTTTTAAAATGAAAATTGTTGACTGCCTGATGTTACTGAGCAAATAAGACAAGGACAGATGAGAGCTGGGAATGAACTAAGTAGGGAGCGCCTGCCTAGCATGCACAAGGCGTTGGGTTTGATCCCTAGCTCTAGGGGAAAAAAAAGAAAGAAAAAACAACAAACTCAGAACAAAGACAACTGGATCTCTTAACTTTAAGCACCATTAAACTGAGTACCAAAGATTTGTTAAGAATTACGACAAGTACTCTCCTACAAGTATTTGCTCTTCCCAAGTCCCCGTAATGAGTTTGTTATCTCAAATAGGACAAGAGATAAAACTTGTTGACAACTCTAATTAGTTTATGTGTTTTTCCAAGAAATTGTGATTCATGATAAGAGCTTGTTTGTTAGGTGTATCTAAAATATTGTGTTTTCTAGATAAGAAAAATCAAATAAGGTTTACATTGAAAAATGTGAGTTATCACATATTTGCACATCTTGGGTCATACTTAATACAAGAAAAATGGAGCCACACACTTGCTTTCCATGCACTTTAAAATATCTCAGCCAAATTTTCTATTAGAAGGCTTTTAATATTTATTTTTAGCTTAAGTGATTCAAATAAATGTTTGCAGACTCTTATCAAGCCATAATTGGCTTACAAATTAGGTTCTACCAGCTAGGTACTAAGATGCTTTCTACAAAACTGAGAGATTTTTCTTTCTAATTGAAAGCCATGGATAAAGTGATGGTTGTTCTAAATAACATGCATGCTTTTCTTTTTCCAGGCAGCCAATATTGGGTTACTGTGAATTAGAGAAGTGAGCTGGAATGCAAATGTAGGCAAGATGTTTCTATTTCTTGCATGAATGAGAACTAATTTTGCAAATAAATAAAAAATGTGCAATCTCCATTTAAGATAAAACTTACCTTCACATCTTTTGATCAGTAAAAACAATTTACATATAAACTGGAAAATTTGCTTTTACTTCCTGAATAAATAAAACCCTCAAGAAATACCCTTTTCAAAAAGAATTAAAATTACGACTTATTTTCAACCTAAAGGAAGGAGCTAACCAAACTGCTGCCTAGGAGAATATAAACACAGTAAAAGGAGTCCTCCTAGGGGGATAGTTTTGCTAAAGCCCAATAGCAAATTTGCAAACATTAAAATAAAAATAGATGGATTTGTTATTCTACTTTATGTGGGCTTTCAGCGTGGGAATGAAAGTGCTCTCTTCTATGTCCTGATTTTAATATAGCTTTGTGACTGTTTAAAAATTACCTTCACCTCATATGAAGAATAGCACAAAACACAGACTTTTTTGCCACTTTCAAAAAAATCTAAAAAATGACATACTTGACAATATAATTGGTCTTAGAGCAAAAAAAAAAGAGTAAACTTAGTTCTATGAGTCTAGAAATAATATTTGTTTAAAAGTGAAATCTTCTTAGGTAATTTCTTTCTACCCTAAGCATTGTTATTACTGTAAAAAAAAAAAACAACGTTTCCTTTGGGGGGGGGGGGGGCGCTGGGAGTAAATGGGAAGGGGAGGTGGTAGGGCCAGTACTGGAACTTGAATTCAGGGCTTCCAGCTGTTATTCAGCTTTTTCCATTCAAAGCTACCACTCTACAACTTGAGCCATACCTCTACTTTGGTATTTTGCTAGTTAACTGAGAAGAATCTCTCAACTGTCTACCAGGCTTCAAACTGAGATCCTATGATCACAGCCTCTGAGTCGCTAGGATTACAAGTGTGAGCCACTGGTGCCTGGTCGCTTTTGTCATTTTGCAAAAATGCATTTCTTTCTAATTTATCCTTGCAAATTATTCTCTTTTTTTCTGGTTTCAAAGACAGATGAACATTTCCTGTCCAGTTATCACTCGTTAATAATTATTACAATAAAATGAATTATCAAGATTTACTGAATTAAAAAAGTGGATTTTTAAAATAAAAAGTTGTGATAGCCTAAGTAAGATAACTTTATCACAGAATATATGGTACAATATACCAGTTTTGTGTATAGAAAATAGTATCTTAAGAAAGATGATGTTAAGATTACCTAAATACTGACCATTTAAAAAGATAAAACAGTAAACTCAAAATGTAGGATATACTTTAGGTATATTCAAGAAGTAGAAGATGCCCAGGGTTTAACCCCTAGCACCCAATAAATAAATAAATTTTAAATACAGAATTTTTAAAGAAATGTATCAACTTTCTTATTTTGCTCAGTTATTGAGTTACTGAGGTAAATCTGGTAAATTCTACTTCACTTTGAGTGACAGCTACATGCACCTTCCATGCACAATAGGGTGGAACAGAGAGTTGGACTTACAAATCAAGGTTTAAACTTTGGAAGTAGTATGGAGGTTCCTCAAAAGACTCCACATAGAGCTCCCCTATGACCCAGCAATCCCACTTTTGGGCATTTACCCAAATGTTTACAAACAAGACCATACTAGAGCCACCAGCACAATTATGTTTATTGCAGCATTACTTATTATAGCTAAGATATGGAACCAACCCAGATTCAGTAGATGAATGGGTCAAGAAAATGTAGTATATATACCCAATGGAATTCTATGCCCCCATCAGAAAGAATGACATTGCCCCATTTGTTAGGAAATGGAAAGGCTTGGAAAAAATTATATTAAGTGAAGTAAGCCAGGCCCAAAGAAACATAGGTCCCATGGTTTCCCTCATTTGCAATATCTAGTATATGTATGAGTCAAGCGGAAAAGGTCAGATAATGTGATGTTAGGAAAATGAAACCTTAAATATGTATTTTAATGTTTTTTTTTCTTTCATGCGATTGCTTCTAACACATTTATATGATTATTTCTTTGTTGCTTTGTATGTCCCTCCCCCACAGTATAACCCCTGCTTTCACTGTATTTGATGTTGGTATAATTTGTGGAGGGGAAGGGGAAAAACAAATCATTTAAATAGGGATACAGGTGGACCCATTGCAACAATGAGATGTACAAGTCGTTACGTCGAAAACGAACTTTACAACTTTGGTGGGGGGGGGAGGGGAGGGGGGAGGGGAGGGAGGATAGAGGGGACGGGGGTGGGGGGGGCGGGGGGGGCGGGAGGAGGATGGGAAGGGATTGGAAGGGGAAACAAAGGAGGAGGCTACAATGCTTGATAAGAAATGTACTCACATTATCTTGCCCATGTAATTGTAACCCCTCTGTACAGTATTTTCACAATAAAAAAATCAAAATTTGAGAACTGATTGTACCATTTACTGATACCTGAGAATGCACTACAAACTTGCAAAGGTGTCATATGTAGCTTAAAGATTGTGGCCACCACTTTAAAAGGATTTGTATAATGGATTCTGGGGAAAACTTAGGCTTCTCAAGCCACACAATAGGCCACTAGGCTCAGGTTTGCAAAGTAGCTGGGAAAAAATTCACTGTCCCCATCAGCAAAATCAATTCAGATGAAAAGGTTACTTTAATTAATGTCCTGGTGAAACTTCATTATCTCAAGGCTCTGCCTCACATTTAGTTTTATTTTCTACCACAGAAGCGCCTCAATTCTATTTCAATTCAACTCAATCAATGTACTTAAAAGCTACTGGGAGGAAAAACAAGTTCGCATACAAAAGTAAGAGGAATTTTATGAAAAAAAAACTGCATCAGTACAACTGAATTAAATTACTTTTGTAACTTAAGCATTCATTAAAGTAGGAAACTCAAACACATGTTTAAATGGAAGTGATCTTTTGTTTTATTTTGTTTTGTTTTTGAGACTGTCTCCCTATGTATCCTTGGCTGGCCTCAAATTGTTGATTTTCCTGTGTCAGCCTCCTCAGTTCTAGGATTACAGGTCTGCACCACCACACTGGGATAATACATCATACTTTTTTTTTTTTTTTTGGTTGGGGGACTTGAACTGAGGTCCTGGGTGCTGTCCCTGAGCTCTTTCGCTCAAGGCTAGCACTCTACCACTTTCAGCCACAGTTCCACTTCCAGTTTTCTGGTGTTTAATTGGAGATAAGAGTCTCATGGACTTTCCCTGTCTGGGCTAGCTTTGAACCACTGCAATCCTCAGATTTCAGCATCCTGAGTAGGTAAGATTACTGTGAGCCACTACTATCTGGCTACATCATACTTTTCAAATGTACAGCTGATTAAAATTTTGCATTGTCTTTCCAACAATGAAACATAACTTTATCATATCCTCTACTCATCTAACTTTGGCTTTCTTGAAAACAAAGACGTGATGCCTTGCATCAATTTGAATTTTGTTTCAATCTTTCAGTAGCTCTTCACTCATATCTGACATTTGAACATTTTTTAAAAGACTTGCATCTTTACAAAGTCTTTTCAGAAGTGCAACTTCATTTCCATAAAACTACTCTTAGTATATTCAAGTTTTAGAATTAAATTACATAACTATGACAAAAGTAACAACTGATCCAAACAGTTTGAGGAGCAGGGGGTGGTGCGGAAGCCAAACCCTCCCAATTCACAAGAGCCAACAAGACATGGCTTCAGCCAGTTCTTCTGTCAATGCTCTTACTCTGATAGCTTGAAATTAGTCAGAAATTAACGCTGTGGTGATCAGTAAAAGAAAATCACGGCTTTCCCCTCAGAACTGGGTGTTAAACCATCAAAAAAGTACTGGGTATAGAATAGTTACTAGGATTGGATATAGTAACAGAGGGTACTGACAAGACTCTTCAGGGTGCTCTAGACTTTTGCCAACACAGGAAAAGGGAAATTAGTAAGTACCATTAGAGATTGCTTTTCACGTTCGTTACTAAGATGACATATTCGGTCATATTTTATGGCCTCAGAGGTAACATGAGATTACTCATCTTCCCAGTAAATTATGAGTTAAAGACAGTCTTGTTAGATATATCTTTGTTATGTATGTTTATCTCCTACAGTTATATTTATCACAAAATAAGTAAAAGAGGTCAGAGTAGCAAGATAAAAGCACAGCATAAAATTAGGAAGCATTAACCAAACACAGCAAAAACCTTATGTGAAGACAAGTAAAAGCTGACTGGCTGTAAGCTCTGGGTTTGATCTTTAGAGCCACCAAAAAAAAAAGAAAGAAAAGAACGTAAGTGGCTGAATCTACTGACTATAATTCTCATTAGACACAAGGAAAAATTTAGAGTTGTAAAAATTCTATGCTTCCTTATAATAAAAAAAATTTTTAAAAATTCTGTGCCTCCAAACACCCAGAAACAGATCAAGTCATTTTATTGTCTCCAAAACATAAAAAATAAAGTGTCTAAGTATCTTGGTTTTATTAAGTAACAAATAATAATAAAAATCCAAAGTGAAATGTATTCTTTGTTTTAGGGCTTTATCAAACGTGTTCTTACCGTTTTGTGATCATTAACAATCATAAGTTCCAGATATTTCATTTCTTCAAACACACCCCGAGATGGCTAAGGAAAACACAAAAACACACGATCAGAATAATGATCAGTGTAAATAGCTCTAATGCTCAAAGTTAGACACCAATTTTGGACTTCAGAAGAACTCTGCTGTCTACTTTATGAACATCCTATAAGAATCTGAGAATTTGTATTTGTCACTTATCAGATATATCATAGACCTCTTTCAAGGCCAGTAACTACACAAACATTTTGATTACACAGTATTCCACTGTGTATGTGTGTATATATATATATGTACATGTGTATATAGATGTATATATATATGTCTGTATATGTACAATAATAGTATTTAACAAAATTTTTCACTGTTGGGAATTTAAACTATTTCTCATTTCCTATTATTATATCAATCAATAAATATGTTCCTATGTGAAAAAAAATAATCTGAGAATTTGAAGGAAAAAAATTGTTTTTAAGCATTCGAGTATTCAGAACAAAAAAAAAACCCTTTAATTTTACTATGTGCTAGCATCAGTGGCTAGTTGTGGTGGCTCACACTTGTATCCTAGGTATATGAGAGAAACGAATCGAGAAGACTGCTATCCCAGCCTTACTTTATCAGCGGGAGCTAAAGTCAGCAAAACCTTATCTCAAGTTGTTTGAGGAGTGGTGGTACATGCCTATAATCTCAGCTGCACTGGAAGCCTGTAGGAAGATCATAGTCTGACTCCCTAGCTTGGGCAAAAGTGTGAGACCATGAGACTCAATCCAGAAAATAACTAAAAAGCAAAAAGGGCTGAGGGCATGACTCTATAGGTAGAGCATTTGCTTGGCAAGGCCCTGAGTTCAAACCTCAGTAACCATCAAAAACCAACACATAAAAAATTAAGTACTTATCAAAATAGGGAACAGCCATGTTGGTTTTAATTGGGAGTTATATTTAAATTTATCCTGGAGAAAAATGTAAAGTGTAATACTGTTAAAATAAATAAATTTACATTTATTTAACATTAAAATGTGAAAGAACTATTCATGTCTACCTAAAACATCAAACAGAATCTACTTTAAACCAAGTTAATAAAAGCAGTATAAATCAGCATTACCTCCAGGTCTATCTGAATCAGTCCTGAGGACAGTCACACAGAAACATTCACCTCACTGAAGTAAAATTCTAATAAAAATGCACCGAGTCCACTTATTACGGTCCAAAATTCTTCTAAATTTTATTGACACTAGATAACCATTTAAGAGTAAGGAGTTAGCCCTTGTCTAGACCTACTTTTCTTTGTATACACAGTCATGAAACAGGTCAGGATGAACAGGAGTGAAAAGCAAGAAAGCTTTTATCAAGTTTACTACTACTAACTGTGGCTTTAAGAGCTAACAAAAGGAGAAATCCAAACATAAAACCACAAAAAAATACCCTATAGACATAATCACCATAATACCAACATAGGCTCATTAAAGAGGAAAATTTAACCTTTACTACATTTCTGATGTTGCTGGCCTCATTTTTTACACACACACACACACACACACACACACACACACACACAAAACATTCAACAAAACATTATGTAAAATGTGCAATTTCCACTAGAATTACTCATTAAGTTATCTAGTAAATTATCATGTAATCTATAAACTGTGGAATTAATTCTTGGGTACATGGCATTCACCATGCAATTACTACACTATCTCATCATTGCAGCTTTCTAATCTATTATGGAAAAAGAGTAGAAAAAGAATTTCAGTTACAAAGCTCCACACATTCATCGGCACAAAGGAGGTGAGGTATGTGGCAGTTGGGTATATCATTTCATGAATTTTATTTAATACCTGTCACTTGTCAAAAAGATTTAGCCATTTTGCTCTGAAAACCACACCCAGCTTTAAAGTTTGGTACAACAGATTTTTTTTAATTTGACAGAACAAAAATGAATACGATTAGTCAACATTTCAAAGTCTAACTTAACCCTGTAATTCTGTTGACCAAAATATTTTACATCATGGTATCAAGCCTCCAAAAAAAAATCTGCTGTGCTTTTATTAGAAAAAAGTAATACTCCAAGCCAGGAACCAGTGGTGTAGGCCTGTAATCTTAGCTACTAAAGAGGCTGAGATCTGAGGATTGTGGTTTGAAGCCAGCCCAGGCAGGAAAGTTCATGAAGTTCTTATCTCTGATTAACCACTGAAAAACTAGAAGTGGAGCTCTGGCTTAAGCTTGGGCTTAAGCTTATGCTCAAGGCCAGCACCCAGACCTTGAGTTCAAGCCCCAGGACTGGCACCAAAAACAAAAACTACTCTCTAATTTTCTTTATAACTATGCCATCAGGACTCATAGGAAACAATAATCAGTTTGAATCTCATATTGGAGAGAGAAATCAAAACCAGTATGCTCAGGTACAGATCATGGGGCTTTCTTGCTTTGTTTTAAAGAGTAGTAAATGTACAAATGTAACCCACCATAGTGATAGTTCAGTGCCATTACCGACACAGATAACAATGAGACAACCCCACTGAGGCTTAAGGCCAAACTCACATTCACAGCTCTCTTCCTCCTCTTCAGCCACTGTAACTCAGACAGTAGAGGCCACTGGTCACTGCTGTCCATACCTGTGTAGGAGGAAACAGAATACCACATAGACGCTCCATAGCCTCCCCATGAAGGAGCAGTAGTCATCATAAAGCCAAGACAAACAGTAAATGCTTCTCACTCTCAGAACCACAAAGGCAGTTCAGGAGAGTGAATCTCATCCAAAATGATGAAAAACATGAGCTGCCCAGGATTCATCAGAAGATGCCTATATGACCCAACCACGTCTGCAAATTCGAAAGCATTCTTCTAGGCTTAATTCATTAGACATTTAAAAATATGTGAGAAAAAACTTTTGCATGAATTTTCAAAGACTTCTGGCACCAATATACAAGGACAGCATGACCCTCTCCCCACCCCCCCTCAAATGATCCAAAAGGAGCCTTGGACAACATCAACATGCTCAAGATGCCTGGGGAGTGGAGGAGGCTAAGGAGCAGTGAAGCGGGAAAATTGCAGGATAATCCTCAGGGTAAATCACCCTTCTAATATGGCCACACTCTCTGGTTCCAAAGCAGCTTTACTCTATGATTTCATATTTCTACCTTGTCACCGGAACAGCCTCAATGTCTCATTACAGGAAATGCTCAGTTCACTCCACCGCCATCACATCCTTCATCCACAACTCAGCCCGGTTCAACCTCTTGACAAGAATGCCTGCCCACAGAGCACTACTGCACAGCACACAATGGCTACTTTACAAGAAAACTTACTGAGGTTCTTCAGTTGCGTAGAGTACTGTCCTGCCAAGGTTTTCTGGATTACATGTGGCCGGCCAGTGCTTTTCTGAAACAAATCAACCGTAGGCCATCAGAGGGGAAGATGAAAACATGCCTCAGTGTATGTACAGCATTAGTACATTCTCGAATGTCTTTGCTAATGTGGGAAGGTTTCTATGTCAAATTTACAGCTTATAACTTCAATTTTCAATAAAACAGAGTATCTTCCAACTGTCTCAGTTTAAAGAAAAGCATACTTTACAGGATTAGTGTTATTCTTAAACCATAACCAGGGGGACAATACTGATTTTTTAAATTATTTTCAGTTGTACAAAGGATCTGCCATTCAACAAAGAAGTTGATGAATACACTGTATTTGTTCATCGCTCCTTTTATCATTCTTCCCCATTGCGCCCAACTCCATACCTCCCTCAATGTTCTTAATTTTACAGAATATACATTCAATTCTATGACAGAATTCTCTCCACCATCCTCTCTATTCATCTACCACCACCCCCATACCCCCTCTCCCCGTGACCCTATCTCCCAACCATTTGATTTTCCTGGTGTTTATTTCTAAGAAATTATACCATTTGAGTTCACTCCTAAATCTACCATATTTCTGTTAATATCCCTTCAAATGTATTAATATCCCTTCAAAATGAAAATGTTTAAAAGAAAAAAAAACAATTTTGCCATCAAGTTAGGAATTATGATCTTCTGGTTAATGACAGTAGCAAGGCAGTATTTCTGATAGAAAAAAATTGGTAGCATAGTTTGAGACACATTTAACATAAATATTATTAAATCAGAAACCTTGAAATGCTTGAAAAGACTTAGCCACTAGCCTAGAAATTGTAATTTTAGTAATGACTTATTATTACTATAATCACTGCTAACTGCAATTACTAAGTTGACAGTATGCTAGAAACATTTATGTACATATTATCCAGTTTATTCCTAACAAAAACCCATAGAGCATTTATTTTATCCTTTGTTAACAAACGAAGACACAGAGGATTAAATTATAATTATCCAATCAATCAATTTTAAAATATATATGGAAATGTACATTGGAGAACTGGAAGGATATTATGTATGCATGCTGAAAAGTAAAGGGAAATTCTCTTTAGGGATGGAATGATGAATAATTGCTATTTACTTAGGTATTTGTTTATTATGTTTATTATTTGTTTATTATGTTTCTCCTATAATATGTTTGGGTTTTTTTGTTTGTTTGCTTTGCAGTGTTAGATATTTAAGCCAGACTCTCATGTATCCTAAGCAGCACTGAGCTATCAGCCCAAGCTTACGTTGTTCTTGCTGGTCTTAAAGATGCTACCCTCCTGCCTCAGCCTCCAGAGCAGCTGGGGTTTCAGGTGAGCACCTCCACACCCAGCTAACATATTAGTTTCATAATCAGAAAAGGACTTACCAAAAAAGCCTTCTTAATAAATTACATGAGACAATAATTTAAAACTTTGCTATTTTTTTATGTGCAATAGGACACAAATTCTCAGTGAAACTGCACCATCCGTATTACCTGACTTACTACACGGCATGCTAAAATAACAAGGTGAACATCACAAAAAAAGAAATCCAAACCCAATAGAGTATGGAAGTAGATGCCATACAGTACTTAGGAAGCTGAAGCAGGAGAATTGTGAGCTTAAGGCCAGCAAGGGTTACATAGTAAGGCCTTGTCTCAAAAAACTGAAAGAACACAGGGATGGTAAGGGAAAAACAAAGGCAGAGGCAACAATGCTTGGTAACAAATGTACTCATTACCTTGCTCATGTAACTGTAACCCCTCTGTACTGTATTTTCACAATAAAAAAAACTTATACAAAAAGAAAAAAACTGAAAGAACATAAACAAAGAAGAAATAAAAGAGAAAATTTAAAATTGCCAATGCAATTACCATCCCTTATTACCATTACTTTAAAAAACATTTCCTAGTTCTGGGGCTTGAACGCTGGGCCAGTGTGAAGTTCTTTTGCTCAAGGCTAGTGCTCTAACACTTGAGTCACAGAACCACTTCTGGGAATTTTTGAGTAGTTTGCTGGAGATAAGAGTCTCAGATACTTTCTTACCCATGCTGGCTTCAAATTGCAATCCTCAGATCTCAGCCTCCTCAGTAGCTAGGATTACAGACATGAGTCACCAGCTCCCAGCTACTATTACTCTTAATTGTGATAATAAGTGAAAGTCACAACCAGATGAGCAACACGCAATTTGCAAGAATGACTAATGCAAAGTTTCAAGAACTGTTCCTTCCTTCCTTTTGTTGTGGTGAGGACAAAACCAATCATACATGAAGAAAAGGTGGGTGGTAGGGAAGACAACAAAAAGGAGCAGATAATAAGCATGTAACAACCAGCACTCAAAAAACATAATTAGAAGGTATAGCAATGCAAAGCCAATTCTCTAGACATTGTGATAACAACAGTTTACGGATATATAAACCCTTTCAACTGTTTGACAGACATTGAAACACATTAACTAACTCACTGCAGCTGCTAAATTTCCCTTATTGGTAATGCACTAGAAAATTGTCTCATTTATGTATTTTTAACAATAAGGCATGGAGAATTATTTTGAGTTTTTGCTTTGTTCTCTAGGATTTAGTTTTTAGGTTAAGAAAGCTATTTTTCAAAGGCCAAAACTCAGAGTCAGATTTTTTTCTCCCAACAAATTTGCTAACCAGTGAAGTAAGGAAAATCATTTTATCAAACAAAAATACCTTAAACCTAGATTGAGTCTTCCTTTCTATCTGGTAATTTTTACAGTTACTGGTTATAAATGATTCAGGTTTACTCAAACCACAGCTACATATGACTTAATGACTTTTCCTCCTCAGACTTGAAACTGATTCATTTTTATATAGACATTCACACAACTAATAAATGTCTGTTGGTTTAACTGCTATTATCAAAAGCCTATGTGTCCATTTTCTGTCCTGAAGACAAAGAAGTATTTTCTGCGCCCACTGTCCAAGCAAGTGATTGCAATATTCTTAGTCCACTGCTCTCAAAAATGTTATTTCTTCCATGAGCTGTTCTCTTCACTGACTTTCCTACTGTCCTTCCTGTGCCTTCACGTCTTACTGATTTTCCCCCGTTCGCAGCCCTCCAGTCTAGTTCCTTCCTAGGTTCTTAAGAACATGTTAACACAGGCCCTGGGAATGCCAGGACTTTTCTACTTGCACATCTCCAAGAATTGTTGTGATTTCCTTATGGTCCTAATTTAAAAATCACCTTCTCCTGGGGCCTTCCATACCCAGTGAGCGTGCTAGTAATTTTCTTCTCCACCTTGCTGCCTTCATAGCAAATAGCATCATCTGAAACATCTATGAGATTACTTTGCACTCCTGTCTGCCGGAAGCCCCATTAGACTCAAGATGTCAATGTTGTCTGAGGTGTATCCTCAAGCATTTAAATGGTACTAAACCTGCAGTAAGCCTCCAATACAGTATTTGATGGCGACATATCAATTTTCAAATCTAGTTGTATTCTATTAAGTTTAAATAACAATACAGGGATATATGATTGGTTAGCTAGACTGCTGTCTTGTGCATGAGCAGACATTATTTTTTTCTTCCCTTTCTTGAAATGAAACAGTGAATCACGTAATCAAAGTTCAGCCCATAAATTTCTCCACCAGACATTTTTAGGAAAACGGAAATTAAGTATGTGCTTACAGTCACACGGTTGTCTGGAGGAGACAATGAAAATGAAAAACTAGGCTGGCCACAGGAAAACAAAAGCCCCTCTCTGCTCTCTCCATGGATGGGAAAAACAGAAATTTTCTTCAGGAAACCCAGTATTGAGGTCTCTGATCATCCCTTACTGGTATATGAGCCCAATATGGGCAACTTAAACTTCAACACTTGTGTTATCATTCTAAGTTTGAAAGACGGTCATGTGTAAAATACACTCTGCAACTTGCTTTAATTTTCTCTTCCCTGCTCTGAAGCAAAGAAGCTGAAAGAGTCAAACATGAGGAATCAGATGTCACAGACTCACCTCATCATGAATCAGGTCCAGTGGCTCTATCATGTACACATATGTGCTGTCTTCAAACATACCACTACAACATAAGAGACCACACATGAGAAAATTAACAAAGCCAATAACAAGAAATGACAAAGGGGCATCATGAGCGTCTTAAACTTAAAGGTATATATGATCAGATAGCTTGATGCTGTCCCAAATCTAATTTGAATATCTCTATGGATCTCAAAAGTGAACATGTGCACACCAAGAGCACATAGATTATACCTCGTGGAATTCATTTCTGAAAATCAGTGGGCAGATTACACATTGTATGATTCCCTAGGAGTATCTCAGGTTATTCCAGAACCGTGAACAAGCAGTACAACTCCCTAGTTAAACAAATCAAGTCTCATGTAGAAGAAAACAGACAAGTCCTGCCCATTAAGAACAGTCTAAAACTTGATTCTAAGGAGGCTAGTGGGAACACCTTTATAGCTATAAATTGTGACTTTCCAGAGAACAGTATGATTCTGTCACATAAATCACATTTACGTTTGATAGACATGAGACTTATTTCAGGCCTCTTTCTCATCGGTGACTAAATGTAGATTTTCATGTGAGGTGCTACACAGCCCTCTAAGGTGCTTTACAGGTGGTTTTGTGGAGCCTGCCTCTAAATCAGTGCCTGATCTTGTAATCATTCCACTTTGCCTGGCTAACTCCTGGCTATATTAGATCTAATACAACTGGTAAGTACTCTGGAACTCACCTGTAGGGGGCTGTATAGACCAGGATTAGTAAATCCATGTAAATCCTCTGTCTGGCTTGGACTTTGAATATTCTCCCAAAAGCGTCAGTGTTAACAGTGGTAGTGCTAAAAGGAGGTGATGAACTTTAAGAAATGGGGCCTCCAGGGAAGACTTTAGCACACTGAGGGCATGCACTTCAAGAGTATTTGTAAGACCCTAGCTTCTTTCTCACCATCTTTTTTGTTTCCTGGTAAACTGTTTCATTGCATTTATTATACCTGCCCTGATGTATTACCTCACTCATCACACGCCAACCAACCATGGGCTGGGATCTCCAAAATTAAAAGCTAAAATAAACCTTCTGTCTATATAAGATGATGAATATAAGAACATTACCTGAGATATTTTGTATAGTACAAGAAAGCTAACAGACACACTTGGGTCCTTCCTTTCACCACACCTACCAAAATGTTAGTTAGGTATTAACCTGTGCAATCATAATTTGTTCAATCTCTGACTCTCCTGCTCCGACTCTCCTAAGTGATACATGGGGGAGGGGCTCAAGCTCACTGTGACTACTCCAAATGCAATCCCTAACATGGATCTAACACAGAAGACTTGCTGTTAAAATATATCTGGGGGAGGGGGGGAAAGGGGAAGGGGGAGAGGGAGAGAAAGGTTGAACAACAGAAGCCAAGCCTGAGGAGGACCCAAGGAGAGTCACACTTACTGAAGTCCATTGCAGGTGGACATGGCCACCTTGGAGTCCTTGACACCTCTAATGCTTCCATGGTAGTAACAGTGCTCTCCACCCTACAGAGCAGAAGAAGATTTGAGAGACTCAATCTTGTACATTGTGAATCACTCTTTAGATGGTTCTATAAAGCGCAACAATGAGAATGTATGTGTGCTATATATTAATAATCCTGGAAACTCCTATTTGAAATTTGTAAGGCTAGACGTTTCTCAAACTTTTTCATAATAAGCATATATATATATATATATATATATATATATATTAAATTCCATGAAGTTTGGAACAACTTCAATGAGATAAAACCAATGTCAATGATAAATATACATATTGCTAAGCCTGTACCACAGGAGGCGCCACACCATCTGTGATTCCTTTCTGCCTCCCACCTTTCCTCTTTGCTTCCCTCTCTCCTTCCCTCCCTCCAAAGTAATCATTAATGCTGAGTTGTTTCTTCTGGTGTTTATAAGTATTTGGGGGTGGAATCTTTACACTGCTTAGCTTATGCTAAAAATCATCTTCCTAATATAGGATCACAAAAGACTCATCCTCAATACATTTCAATACACACAGTCTTTTTTTTATTAAACCCTTATTTAATGTTTGTGTTATAACTGCAAATACTGTTCACAGCTGCGCTTCTATAATTATTTTCTTTCTTGTTCCCTTTTTAATATTTTGAGATGTTTTGCCTTATCTTCTTGTCTTATTATTTCTACATGCAATTAGCATTTACTTAGCCCTATTATCTGAGAGTATTCTAGTCCAACACATCAAGTAAGGTATCACAGCTATTTTGTTTCTGAACACACACCTCTTGTTTCCTTTCAGCCCTGCACTTCAGTTCGCTCTGTGGCTTTCTGGACCCCAGGCATGGCTGCTATTTATGACTTTTCTGGAATAGTTTTGGGATCTCCTGTTACCTGTCTTCTACATCAGTTCCTAGACTACATGTCTGTCCAGTTCCTGATCCCATATTCCTCTTTTGTCTCTTTTCTGGAGGCACATATTGAGAAGTGTTTAAAGTAAAGTTCCTTTTAACCCTCACAGTAGAGCCATAATTTTGGTCAGTAGAGAATGGTAGATCAATCTACTCAGGAGGCTGAGATCTGAGCATCTGGATTTTTAAATCAGCCGAGGCAGGAAAGACCATGAGACTCTTTTCTTCAGTTACTCACAGAAAAAGCCAGAAGTTGTGCTGTAGCTCAAGTGGTAGAGTGCTAGCCTGGAGCAAAAGAAGCTTAGGGACAGTGCTTACACCCAGACTTCAAGGCCTAGGACAGGCAAAGAGAGGTGGGAGGAGGTAGATAAAAGTTTTTTTTTCTTGGCATTTCAAAGGATTCTTTGAAGACTTCTATTCTATCTCATTTCTATGCAGTCTGATCATGACCCTTGGTGAGAGTCTCTGTTCCACTGTACAGAACATTCTGTGGCACCTTGTAATTGAGAAAGCTCCTGCACTTTAGTTCTTACAAATCATTTTTTAATTTTCTTTGATCATTCCCTCATTTCCATGTTTCTCTATAAACTGAACAAAAATGAGTTAGGCACCTGCATAGATGGGATTATTAGTTTAACAGGGACTTAATTTCTCTCAAGGTAGACATTCAACCAACTAAACAACCTTCCTTTTTTCAGATGCCTTCAATTCTGGGCCTTTCTGGGGTTAGTGGCTTTCTACAACTTAGCAGAGCAGGAAAAACTCAAACCCAAGAGAATCATCCCTTCTCCATCTGCTTTTCATATCCTGACATTTTAAGGACAACCTCTCACCTGCTGTCTTCTTTTCTTCCTTGTGGTTTTCATCCTTTCTTATTCCTTAGCTGTTATGTGAACTGGTTAGCAGGAATCCCCCACCCCCACCTCCACACACGCACGCATCACTTTTCTTTCCTCAAATAGCAAACATGCATATAAATATTGACTTGTATAAGCCAAGTTCTATTTGTGTATTTAACTCTGAACTTTACAAAGATGAAAAGTTTCACACATCTCAGCAATTTGAGAATCTAGATCAATATTCAGCAATTACATTTCAGACTTTTCACAGGCTTCTAAAAAAAGAGTAATAGGTAACTGTAAAAACTAGTTACTTAGTCCTTTGTAAGCACAGCAAAAAACTATCTTAAGACAAGTGATTGCGAGAAGTCAGTGCATAGCAAACCCTCACATTTGCTTGGCCTTCCTAAGAAAAGCTAAGATATTTCCAGATTTTCCTAAAGATATTCCTTTCCTCATAAAATATTACCAAACCCTGATGTAGATCTCACTCCCATTCACTTGCAGTGGTTGATACTTTCTCACTGTCGAGGTGATTTTTACCTGTTAGAATTAAGGTAGGTTATTACACAAAGGAAACTGGTTGGGTTTCCTGTATATTTGAATGGGAGTCATTATGTCTTCTGAACCTTAAATGAGACTGGAGACAACAGCCATCCCTGATGTTTACTGCAATAATAAGGCTTTCACATCTGGTATGTATCATTACATTAAGTACTATTAGCAATATGAAAATTTCCAAATTAGTATTGGTAGTAGTAGTAGATTTTATGTTCATTATTAAATTTATACCAAGTTTTTAAAAGTAGCATAGACACATTTTACTTAGTAACTATTTAGATCCATGCTGCATTTTATAAATACCACTGCAAGGTGACATTTGAGGCATTTTCTATGAGCACAGTTGCTCACACCTGTAACCACAGTTACTTAAGAACCAGGGATCAAAAGAATCTCAGTGTGAGGCAGCCATCCCAGAAAAAACTTTTGCAGGACTGATAAAAACATTGAGCATGGTGGTTCATAGCTATCACCCCAATTAAATTGGGGGGTGGGCGGTGAAAATAAATAGGAGGATCGCAATCCAAGCCAGCCAGGCCTACACATGAGAGCCTATTTGGAAAGTGACAAAAGCAAAAAGTGAGACTAGTTCAGTAATAGGGAGCCTACTTAGCAAGGACAAGACCCTGTATTCAATCATAATAACAGATAAAATATGAATGATAATAAAATGAGAGAACAGGCAACCTCTCTTGGATAAAAGGCATAACTTTAGTGGGAAAGGTCTGTCCAGAGGGCTTCATACTTAGTGACACTAGACAGTCAACTCCAACATGCCTTCCACCCAGGGATCTGCCACTTGGAATAATCACAGTCTGACTGTAACTACTATCTCATATGCAAATTGGGTGATGGACACCAGGTACTGAAAGGCCCTGCCAACAATAACAAAAGTCTCAAAACCCATCATATATCATAAGGTCTTCAAGATACATAATTTTTAAGTTAGAAAGGCCTTGTACCATTCAAGGCCACCATCAACTGGGGTGAGGAAATAACAGGAATGGAGAAGGACTAATTCAACCCATAATGCAAGTCATGTGTGTCCCCAGAGGCATCAGCATTTTCAGATCCAAAGCTTTCAGTTAATTAAATTCAACAAAAATAGAAAATCTGCTAAGTGGAATCTATTGACTAGTCACAGGAAATTAAAAAATCTTGGTAACCATGCTCCCTAACTTTCTCAGCTGAATACTTCCACACAGATGAACACTCCAAGAGTCGTATATTGTTCAAATAATAACTCTGCTCCACAAGATTAATAAGCTCAGAATCCCACTGGAAAATACAAAGTCTGTTCTTTAAATAATAAAATCCTGATGTCACATGAATCTTTTACTGATTATTTGTTCGTGGTAGTTTTGTTTTGCCTCATTTTTGCAGCACCAGGGTTCAAACCCAGAGCCTTGTGCACTGTAAGGCAAATTCTACAAGTGAGCCACCTCACCAGCTCCAGTGCAGCTTTTAGACATTTCTTAATCATAAAGGACTGAATAGCAACTTTTGGACTTTCATGGTAACAACATGCAGGGGGAAAATCTAGTTCTATAATAGTATTGATCTAATAACTAGAATAGTTTGATTCTACTCCTCTAAAGAAAATAGACCCATCTTTATTCCCTCCCAATAACTCAGCAAATAACAATTAAGGAAAGGGTATAAACCCACAAGAACAAAGCCATGATATGTATCCTAAAATTCAGGTTACAGAAAGCAGGAGGATAAGGAGTTAACTTCCCTTAGGTTTAGGCTTTCCTTGCCCTGCTATGTTCTACTGGGAGGAGCCAAATAGAAGCAAACCAATATTTAATTTGCCCCACATTTGTATTTGTTTAATTATCTCATCTGTTTTAGTAAAAACCTGGACACTCATGAGAGCAAGTACCCTGATGGTTTCAATTGGTCCCAGAAGATCTGAAAAAAAAAATTGAAAGTAAATGATACAGGTCTTAGCTAGGAAATGTGTACATTAGGATATCCAGGTTCTGGATATTATAGAAATGATTATAGTACACTCTCATGATTATTCTATATGCATATTTTAGACACTTCATGTTTATGAACATGGTGCACCAATCTACTTTAAAATTCAGTGGTCTGTTTTCAAGGAAAGTGGAAGAGAAAAGGTAACCATCATGGGCCCATACACCTGGGTTTGAATGTTGCAGAATGAGAAAATGAAAAAAATAATTTCAGAGAATCAGGAAATTAACTTCCCATACCAGTTTAATTACTTTCCTTCATTAAATTCAATGGAGAAAAATGTTCCTGCAGTAGTTTATTAATAAAGTATTAGAACAGTTTGGCTGTACCAATGCTATATAAATTTTTAATAGTTCACATAAATTATACTGCTAAAACTTAAAATAGCTCTGGGAGGAGCCAGTGTTGAGTTCTATCTTGACTTCATTGGGCATTTTTAACTCCATACTTTTCTCATATTCTGAAATGTACTCAGAATATTGCAAAAAAAAAAGACAGTATTTTGAATGATTAACAATAATTTCAACTCTAAGCTTAAATTTTTTAATAACTGGTAATTTTGCTTCTAATGTAAATAGGTTAGTGTGGATAATTTTGTTTGCCTATGATTAAACTGTTCATTATTTATCCATTATGAATACTTTGAAAAAAAACTAATAATCCAAAGGGTACAAAAAATTCTAATGTATATACAAGCAAAAAAGATATTTTAATCGAGTATAAGGGCAGAAATACA